TTTTTTTTTAGAATGAAACAGGCTATCGGAAATAAATTTTTAAATGGTAAAAAAATAATAAGACAAAAAATTACGTTGGAAATAAATTTTAGGGGTTGCGTTTTCCACCCCTTACAACCATGGGGTAAACCAAATAAATTACTGGCTAAGTGTCTTTTTGGTAGTAGAAAATGTCAGGTTAATTTCAATATTGTAACTTGTTTAGTGCTTGTGAAAAAAATTGTTAAACAAATTTTATGTACCCCCTTTAAGGGGCTGTATCTTAACAAGGGATGCTCCAATGAAGTTTCTTTATATGAAAGATCCTATTTTTTTTCGATGAGGAATCACCCTCTTAAATGTTTTACACTTATTTAGTTACACCCTGTATTTTATACGCATTATGGTAATAGTGTTTTTATATTATGTCTGAATCACTCTCTATAATTTCGACCGCGGAGTATAGTTACCTCGACTAGCGATTTGCAATCGTAATGCGCCCATCCTTTTCGAGCACAACAGTGCTTTTTCTTCCAGATAGCCGGAATGACATAAACTAACCCAAGGCCGCGGGGACCTCTACGTGCCAACTTTTCCGCCAAAATGTGACGTGTTTACGGGCCCCCGATGCCGACTAATAGGTGTGCCCGTCGCGCGCCGTGCGCCAGCTCTTGGCCTCCCCCCAAACTCCGTTGGAGGCTGTCGAGGGTAGCTGCAGTACAAGGGGAGCGCTCGGGGGCTGCAGACCTCTCCGCAACCCTTGCGAGTCGATCGATGCGCCTCTCCTCCGCCTTCAGACCATTCGCGGTGCCGCTCTGGATATTCCTCGCACCACCAGGCCAGACGAATCCAACGGCGGCCAGGAGCGGTTGAATTGTCTTGGTCTCCTGCTCGTCCCCACGAGGTAAGTGGCCATTTTTCATGTTTTGTCCACTTCCGGTTCAGAACGCGCCTTCCTGTTGCCAGGAAGGTGTCACCAGACGACGGGGTTTGTATGATTTGCGAATGTCGGTCGAACGGCCTCTGGGTCTGGAACAGTATGCGGACCTCTTTTGTAAAAACGCTATTATCGATTTTCTGTAATTGTAAACCGACTTTGAGCGAGCGAATTTTAAAAAAATCGTGTAGGAACACTGACCTAATAATTTTTTTTAAGTACCGACTATTCACCGGTAGTAAATATACGGAAAGACGAAGAAAGGAAACACACTCGACCGAATTACGTATCGATTTCGCGAAATTATAAATCGATTTTTAAACTTCATCTCGTTCCAGGTATGGTTCAATGACGTGGTCACAAATTTATATAATACTCAGTGTACACCCAATGGAAAAAAATAACTTTAGTACAATTTTGTATTAGTTCTACTTATTTACGTCTACAAAAGTCATATTTCAACCCAATTTCAAATAGTGTGGTGCAATAAAGAAGACAGGAAGTAGTGGTTGCAACTATTTTAGTATTTTAATCAATTAGAAATAGGTAGTACCTAATGCTTCATCTTTATATTGTTTCTAGTATTGTTTTAAATATCTTTCCATATAAAAAATCTAAATCGTCAGCAAATAACGCAGTTAGAAACGGCGATAGTAATATTAATAGCGCAGATAGTGTATCATTCCTGGAATGGCTTCAATAGAATGTCAAGAAAACAAAAACCAAATAGATTAACAGAAAAAAACAGACAGTACTGGCAATAGGCAATGCCTACACAAGAAATTTAGACAAAACAAAGATGTCTGCATACAGGGTGTCTATTCAAACTTCAATGACGGATTCTACGTAATAAATTAACAGAAAAAAGCACCTGTAAATTTATATCCAGAAACTTTTTCTTTTAGAAGAGATAAGTGTCAAGTTGTAGGAAAATTCAAATTACAAGAAAATGGCTAAAATGACTTAATTCAAAACTGGAACTCTAGTTTTTGATTGTCACAAAAATATATGCATGCTATAGTTTTTTTTTTAAATTGAACTCGGATTATATTATAACAATTTAGGGCTTTTCAAAAAAGCGTTCTACTTCATATCACACCATTTTTCGAAATAAATGACACAATATTAGATTTGCCTAACGTGTTTTTTAAATAATCACAATATCTTACTCATAAATTAATTAAAATATCATTTACGTGGTTTTGTTTTTTGTAACTTGAAATAAATCATATCTTTTCATTAATTGAATAGTAAGTATATTTTTTAAAGTGTCAATTTTTTAACAACTGTATTAACCTCCATACCAGTTTCTATAAAAATAATTTGTTTATAATTTATAAAAGTAGGTACATAAATCTAAAATTTTAACAGTGCCTGTTTTTTTCTTCATTTCGTTTATTAAAAATTTTGCATTATTTATTATTTTCCAAATTAGGTCAAAAAATATTTTACAAATTTTCCTTCACAATCAGTATTTTATATACACAGAGCTCGTAAAGTTTGGAATAAATTCGAAAAATCGTTATTGAAGGGTTTTGACAGGAAATCCTCGGACACGTCAACTTTAGTTTATAAAATGTCACTTTTTTCAGCCATCGACTTTTATTTTGTTTCGTTTGTTTTTGATGTATGACGTCATCGGCAATTTTTTTAAATGGCAGCCCATATTTTTTTCCACGGATTTCGATAGAGCACATTTTTCTGAGTACGAATATGTCAGAGACGTATGACCTTCAAGATGGAAGTTTTCGAGATATTCGGTTCCAAAGTTTCAAGAATACATTATACAAGCGATGACAAAATACTAATCATTTATCAAGGAACCGCTGGAAAAATTACAGTTTTGATAGTTGAAGTTTGTCCTCGCAAGTTTGTGTTTTATTTTAAGTTGATTAATCATTATTCTATCAGAATTCATTTTATTTGAAAATGGTCCGTCGTTTGAGTGAAAGGGAAAGAATCGAAATTTTTATGATCAGTTACGGAGTATGAATATTATGTCAAAAACGTACGACCTTCAAGATGGAAGTTTTCGAGATAATAGACAGTTTAAAACACAAACTTGCGAGAACAAACTTCAACTATCAAAACTGTAATTTTTCCAGCGCTTCCTTGATAAATGATTAGTATTTTGTCATCGCTTGTATAATGCATTCTTGAAACTTTGGAACCGAATATCTCGAAAACTTCCATCTTGAAGGTCATGCGTTTTTGACATATTCGTACTCAGAAAAATGTGCTCTATCGAAATCCGTGGAAAAAAATATGGGTTGCCATTTAAAAAAATTGCCGATGACGTCATAGATCAAAAACAAACAAAACAAAAAAAAAGTCGATTGCTAAAAAAAGTGACATTTTATAAACTAAAGTTGACGTGTCCGAGCATTTCCTGTCAAAACCCTTCAGTAACGATTTTTCGAATTTATTCCAAACTTTACGAGCTCAGTGTATGTATAAAACACCGCAGTAGAACAAGCCAACAAGGGTGTAGTATAATGCTTTTTTACTAGATTTTGAATAATATAATTATTATTAACCAAATTTTTAAAAAATTATTTCCAAATACGTAAATTCCTCAAACAAAGAATGTTCACTGGAGGAAAATATTTTCAATTGACAATAAAATACCTTTGTTTGAATATACATACAGTGTTTTTTTCCCAGATACAGTGTTTAAATTTTAATTTTTTATTTATTTTTATTAATTATTTGAGAGTTTTAAAGATATTGACTCGAAATTTGAAACACGCTTTCGACGGATAGATGTGCATTTTTTGGAGTTATCCGAATATTTCTACTTGCACCAGTGGCGTTCGTGCGAGAATGCCACAACCTTGTATAATAATAAAAAATGAAATAGGTCTTCAAATTTTTTCGTGGGATGCACCGTTTTTGACGGAAAAAATAAAACATATTTTATTGCAAGTTGTGTATTTTTAATTTCTATTGATACAGTCTAGTAAGTTGCCGTTAATATTTCTAAATAAAATACAACCATCAAATCCTAGTCAATATCTTTAAAACTCTTTGAAATAATTAATAAAAATAAATAAAAAATTAAAATTTAAACTTGACCACCCTGTATATTTTACATATTTTATCTGTTACCTTTATCTGTTCGTTTATTCGCATTACAAAAAGTAGGAAAACTGACAATCATAGATTCTTTGGATGAAGATAATGGGATTTTCCTTACCTATATCATTTTTGATTTAATTATTTTTTTAAGATACAGTGTCAAAATCTCAATTAAAAAAGATTTGTATTAATAACTATGCTGTTTTTTAACGTGTTAAGTTGAAATTTCGCTGATACCTAGTTTCACTTTATGCCAACACATATTTTACATAATTTTGTCAAAAAATAAAAGCGCGAACAAGGGAAAGGGGCAGTTGACTCTTTCTCCCAACTTTTTTCACTCTTACAAAATGTTTAACTTTTTTAGATATGCTACAGCTTTTCTTTTACAAAGTTATTAACAAAAAAAAAATCATCATTTTGATACCCTCCAAATGAAAAATAGCACAAGAAACAGCCCATTATTTGCATCCAAGTAACTTATGGGTAACAGCTTGACCTACTTTTCTGTAACATCCTGTATATTCATCGTGAAGGTTTTACGTCTTAATTTCTAGAAAATAAAACCTATTTTTGGAAGTCATATTTTCTAAATTTAATTTTAATTTGCAAAAATACAGAAGCCTTTAGGTGTTCATTTACTTAAAAAGTCTTTCCAGGAAGGAAACTCCATCTTGTGTAACCTGAAAAAAGTAAAATTGAAAAATTTTGATTGAAAGTATTTTCAATGATCAAATTATGAATAGAAAGTACTTAGTTATCGCTTATTTTTTGATAAATCCACATTAATTCAAGTTAAGTTTTCTTGAAAGTTTTCCATAATTTTAAGAACAGATCTTATTACCAAAAATAAATAAGAATTATATAAACATGATTGGAAATGGCTTAATTGCTAGGATACAAGATTCTTATAATTTGTTCTTAAACTTATTGTTTCCGCTGAGTGTTAATTGGTCGATAGATTTAAAACAGCGATACTCATTCAAAATGCTATGTGTGAAGAACACTTTACTACAGGACATGGTATAGGGGCATGAGAACAAAGTTAATATCCATTCAAGCGAAAGTTAATACAATTCTGTGCCCCTATTCCCCTTGATCCGATTTAAAAATATTAGATTTATGCCCCTCGCACATTCATGTTTTTTCACTCTGTTACTTAAATACAGGATCATCATGCGAAATGTTATATTCGGACTTTATTGTCTTTGGAGATATCGGAAATGTAAAAAAAAATATTTTACATTAATCTTTTATTATTCGTTATGTTACAGCTACGTATCAGGATTACAGTGAAGTAAGTTTTGGTGGATATGCAAGGTGCCTTCCAAAGTAAACAGGACTTTTTAAAAATAAGAAGAAGAAAAAGTTTTTTCGGGAAAAAACCGTTTTATTTTATTCAAAATAATCCTCTTCCGATTCAATACAGCGATTTGTCGTCAGACGGGATATGCTTCAGGATGTTGGTGCAAGCCTTTTGGATGGTTTCTATGTTCACAGAAAGCTTTCCTTTCATCAGCAAATGCATTTTTCCGAAAAGGTAAAAGTCGCAAGGTGCTAAATCAGGGGAATACGAGGAGTGGTTGACAGTTAAAATGCATTTTTAGTCAAAAAATCCGTCACAAGTGTCGAACGACGAGATGGAGCATTATGGTGCAAGAAACGCTAACTTTCTTCTGACGAATACGATGCACCAAACGCTTCAAAATGCCAAGATTGAATTGTACGTTAAAGGTTTGACCCCGTGGGGTCTTTGGACATTGCACTTGGAATCGTAAAAGCAAATCAACATTGTCTTCACATTTGACTCCAAACGAGATTTTTTGGGTTTTGGTTCGGCTGGCGCCTTCCACTCGGTACTTTGGCGCTTGGTTTCTGGATCATATTGAAAAGGTTTTGTCCTTTTTGGCCTCCTTGATAATGCCCTTCGAATGTTGAATTACGAGCAATATTTGGTTGTCAGTCTACTGGTGCGGAAACAAACCGTGCGCACACTTTCCGGCAGCTCAACATGCAATAAACTGATGTTTTTGAGATGCTCAATTCCAATTCCATGAATTGAAATGAAGATATTGACTGATCTTTAATGAATGCACAGTTTTGATGGAATCTGCGGTGATTTCAGTTGGTCAACATGTTCAAGATAAACAATCATCACCATAAACTTGGTTCGTTAATTAAATTGTTCCCTAAAAGTTTTACCAATCTTGAAACATAACTTAATATTAGCTCTTTGTTTGATGCTCATTTTTGTACCGATGCGATGCCACAAACATACTGTCACTTCAGGCACAATAACTCCGTCCAAATGTCATGAAATTTTGACAGTACGTCAGTGAATTGCCAATAGAAATACCTATTTTTGAAAAGTCCTGTTTACTTTGGAACGTACTTTTATGTCTAATAATGGAAATATGTTCACAAGGAAATACTATAAAGGCAATATATGGACAACAAATTTGATTGCTTTGCAATTAATAATAATCCCTTTCTCACACAATACGTTTTATTTTATCCATTATTTTCGTACTACTATCATAGACCCACTAACCTTCGCAATCTATGTCCTGTAATCCTGGTAAAGTTTTCTAACAGAATATACGGTGTGTCCCTCGTTAAGCATTAGCCACCCATGAAAAATTGTTATTTGTTAACCGATTTGTTTCAACTCTTTTTTGTTTGATAGATCTCAGAAAAAGGAGTAGAATGTATAATTTCGGTATTTCCGTGTCTTTAGTCATAGCCAACTGAGACGCGTTTTATAGGAAGAAAAGTCGAGAAGCATTATTAGCGATTTTTTTTTAGACAAAAATTGCACCGGATTCTTATTCAGGACTATCTAAAACCTTACTGTACCAACATTTGTTGTGATAGAATACAGGGTGTTGCAGAAAATTAAATCTTAATTTTTTAAAACAACTGAAGATTTATTTCCGAAACACATGCTGTATTTGAATATTGTATATTAGTATTATTCAAATTAGTGATAAAAGAAACTTATTATTATGATTTAACACTTTTCAATTCGTCGACTACTATTAATTGTTACTTTTCGTAAGAGCCCCCTCAAAAAATCAGTTCAAAAAATTTTTTTACAGATCGCTCAAGTTTTTAAATATTTCCAAAATCGTCAAAAATTTAATTTTTAAAAAATTTTTTTTTCGTTATTTTATCATTTTCTAGGTTGAAAAGAATCTCGATTCTGAAAATTTTAAATCGATATTTTAATTTCTAAAAGTCGCTCATAATTATTTTAACTTTGAAAGTAGTGTACCTATGTTTTCGAGCGTCCTCTAAAAAATAAATATCAACGAACTAAAAATTTTTTGATTGAATTTGATGAACAAAAGGATAGAAATAAGTCACGAGACACTTAAATTTAAAAAAATTAAAAAATTATAAATATTTGATACTCGTAGTGCGGTAGTAAATGTTGCCTTGAGAAATTTTTTAATAATAATAATAATAATTTTCCTTTATTACTAATTTGAATAATACTGATACATAATATTCAAATAATGCATGTACTTCCAAAATAAATCTTCATTTGGTTTAAAAAATTAAGGTATAATTTACTGCAATACCCTGTATTCTATCACAACAAAAATCGATATAGAAGGGTTTTAGATAGTCTTGAATAAGAATCCGGTGCAGTTTTTGTCTAAAAAAAATCGCTAATATTACTTCTCGTTTTTTCTTCCCATAAAACGCGTCTCAGTTGGCGATGACTTAGACCACGAAAATACCGAAATTATATATTCTACTCTACTCTTCTGAGATCTATCAAACAAAAAAGAGTTGAAACAAATCGGGTCAACAAATAACAATTTTACGTGGGTGGCTAATGCTTAAGGAGGACACACTGTACATATACATAGATTCTCAATTGTTTTTTTCCTCTAAAAAAATTAATGAACAAATCATATTTTACGTTTTCGATATCTTCAAAGACACTGACATTACAATTGAATCTAACATTATGACTGTATCACAGATTTTTTTTTAACTAAATTAACCCTTGCAGAGTTGTTTTACGAAATCATCGACTGATGCTTTTGATACAAGAGTTTATTTAATTAGTTTTTTATATCTCACAGGTGGCAAAATAACCGAAACAAATCGAGAAAAAATTACGTTATAGGGTGTGATCCTGTACATTTTTGTTAGTGTAGAATCCAGATTTTTTTCGATATAGTCATGTTTTGTAAGGAACTTGATATTTTGGAGTCATTTTTACATAAGAATATAAGAATTTCTTGTAAATCACAATATATTGATGCCATTCAATCAAATCATATATTTTTGGCAATAATACTCGTATAATACAATTACAGGCCAAATAGAAGTTACAAAAAACGCAATTTTCTGAATGTCGACGTTTCGTCGCTTTATTGCGACATCTTCAAGACTCTTAAACTTCTTCGTTTTGTTTAGAAATCCTGAAGTTATTTCTATGATGACGTGAAACGTCGATGTTTAGTGTTGTGTTTTGCTTAAGCCTCCATTTGAACAAAAATTCCACTACCCCATGGACTAATAAAATGCTCTTTCATTTACCGAAATCGTGATACGCGCTGTGCCAAGCAGAGCTTTAATTTCGTCTGTCGCTTTTATGTTATCCCGTACCGATAAGGATTCAACTAATTCACTGACGACCTTGTTTGTCTTTTCAGCAATGGAAGAAGTATTAACGGAAGGCAAGAATTTCAAGTTAGTAGACGATTCAGAGCTTCCGGAAATCATAGATTTTCTTGGCAACTTCTTGCCTGACTCCATCAAGGTAAAATGCATATTCATACTATCACATTTCACCCACGTAAGTCGACGTACTTGTTTTCATATCGTACACAATTATTTTTGCACTACCTACCTAAAATTAAACCAAAACTACACTTTTTTGCACTGTATCTGGATCGTTTTGGAACGTGCTGACTTAGCCAGTCTCGAATAATTTGGCCATTATGGTGAGGAGCACCAACATCAAGGTTGCGACATGTTACGACGAATACCCAAATTATTCTTTATTAAATATCTGTCGGTGGTGGTACCTAATGGTGAGGCAGTATAAACCGAACTTTTTGTTCATGGTACGAGATAACTACTGTTCTTTTAAAATCCTCCAAACTGAACTTTTTGATACATTTTATTGTAAAGAGAGTCTAGTTGCAGGATTATTTGCAACATGCTTCAAAAGTCTATCTTCAGAGTTCGCAGTACGATTCTGGAATTGATGTACAACGTGACACGCCTATTTGATATGAAACGATTCGGGAAATAATCCATATAAATCCTACTAGACTTAGAAGAGCTCCCTTAATATTAAGATAGTGAATCATTGCATAAAACGATAGCAGACGTTGCTTAGATATTTGTTTAATCCACAGGCGGACCATTAGTGTCATTTTATCAAGCATCGTAATACTGGACAAATATGTAAGATTTCGAAAAATATTATTAGAAAAAATGTATTGCTTTGCGGCGACTCTCGAAAAACAGCACAGTATTACAAACTGACTTTCGAATACAGTCCGGCTTCATAAGAAACCTACAAATTCGTAAAAAGTGTTACAGTGTATTCATTTTTTTAATGAGAATTTGTACAATCGAAGATAAAACTTTGTAAGGCTTATCTATATCTTATAAAAGGTAAATAGTGTCCCAAAAGTAACGCAGAGTGAAATTGTGCGACATTTTCATTCCGAAGAGTTGGCAGCATTGTGCAGGGTCACATGATGTCGTAAACACGTTGCGGTTAGACAAAATGGAAACTCCTTAGAAGTTTGGAGAGTGTTTAGCTGAGATTGTGCGTAAATTACGTGAAATTTTTGGTAGAAGGGAACAACTGCGAAAAGATTAGTTGCCAAATTTAAACAAATAGGTTCCGTAGCAGTGATAGTGTGACGGAAATTCAAGTAACCTGCAATCTTACGTCATGCGACTTTTTCCTGGGTTAGAGGCAAAAATTCGGTTAATTATCAACGAAATTAGGCCGCAGGCATGCGAAAGCGTGGTACAGTAATCCAAATGAGTTGTGGAGGACATCTGTGCGAGATCCTCTTTCGTATTTATTGGCGACGTCTATCCTTTAAAAACATTTAAAAACTATTTAATTAATAAAATCTTTTGAAATCCTACATTTATTTTGGAGCACTCGTTATTTATTACATTCACGCATTAACTTTTCCATCCTGTATATTGAAAAAGCAGTGCCTAAGTGAAATGTTTCATAACGAAAGTCCCATAATTACAGTCGCACAAGAATTTGGAATCAATGACTTTACCAACTTTTTTTCTAACATCGTGATAGCTGAAAGCCAAATTTGCCAACAATCCATTGCCCTGTGCTTTCACTTATTCACGTATTCCCCGATTAATGAGGAAATTGACCCAATCAACGTTCCATTGATAAGCAATTCGGGGCGTAATAAACCACTAATTAAATCAGATTGTCCTTGTAAGTCACGTGACACACAATGTGGTATGGAAGTCTACGAACGAATTAGCTGGTCTTATGAAAAACCAATTAGGGCTAATAGGAAGGATATCTGAAATGAACAGGATATTACTCGCTGTCAAGCTTTACTGATTTTTTTATGACACGTCTACCTTGTTTTCTTTCCAACGTGAATTGTTACAGGAGGATCAGCCAACTGGTTGATTCAAATCGTGATGGTGTTATCTAAAGTGTATTATAAAGGGTGAAGTTGGGTTCAAAGTGTGATGTATTTGTCAAACATTCGAGGGAAAATGCCTTTACCAATTTTATTCCTAACAAGGTGAACACAACAGCCCTTTAAAATGATGAGGCGTTTTCCTCGGCCAAATTTAAGAATATTTTACAGGATGCTGAATTGTTTCAAAAAATGTTTTATCTTCTGAAAAATTTAGGTTTCAACTTGTACTAGAGGCGTAGTTATGACGCATGCTTTAATTAATAAATAAAAATCAGTTAGTGCAATGATACGCAGACTTATATTGGGAGAAAATATGGCACACAAACAAAAGTTTGAGAACCTCTGATTTAAATAATTTTACAAATGGCATCTAAAATCTGTACTAGTGCCTCAAGACACTTTTCAATCTGAAAAGTAATAACAAAAGTATTCAGGAGATGTTGAGACATGTAACTGTTTTTTTTTTTCTAATTTACGATCGAAGGGTTCTGGGGTTCTTAGTAAAACATTTTTTAATTTTTTCGAAAAATGCACTGTTTTATTTTGACATGTAGTTGCGTTACACCCCGTATTTCTTTCTTACGTTTAGTGAAAATGCAAAGCTTGCGGTATATTTTAACACAAATTTTAAGTTCAGTAAGAATATTCTTAAACAAACATGAGCTAGTTTTAAGAATCTTCCATATTTACTGGATGTATTTTCACAAATAATTCTAACAAATAATAAAAAAATGTTCTAAATTGTGTCGTTTAATCAAATGTAAGTAGGCACTAAAATCAGTGGGCGATGTTTTATTTTTCTGTATTTATTTAGATATTAAGACAAGGAAGTCAAATGGGTTCAAATGCATATTGCCGGAAGTGTAGGTATTGATATGGTATATCCGGAAGGTACAACGAAAGTGATTCAAATATTTTTTTTGTCAGAAATACGGAAAATTTATATTTTCGTTACACAAATCTTCCTATAACTTTTAACTATGTCGTTTTTATATGTCCTATAACAGTGCTTATCATTCAAAGCTTTTTCTAACATTCTAACTCAAAATTAAGAAGCAGTGTTGCCAACTTTGGATTAGCAATAAATCAACGGTTATTATTGTTTTCTGAAGATGGGAATAATAATCCCGAAACGATCGTAATAAAAAATTAAAAAGAAAAAAATTAGTTTTACAACAAATTATTTAATTGTGACCTGTTCTCCCAGTAAATTAATAATAATTATTCAAGAAATTATATGATGGTCAAGAAGAAAAAAACTTTGTATAAGCTAAATATTGATGAGTTTTAAACAAAATTTATAGACCAACTAGGACTACACCAAAAATATATCTATAAAGTTGTAGTATACGAACGCATAAGTAAAATTAGGCATCTTTAACCTTGTCCATTTTTTATTCAACTTTATATTATGAACTTGAATCTATATTTCGTGGAATAACTGCCGCATAGGTTATTTTTTTCTTTTCAGTTCAGACATCGCATGATGCCGAAAGATTTTACCCCAAGATTAATGGGGTCGAATTTGCGTATGTCTCGTTTGCATGCCTTTATGTACAGTTATTGCTTTGCCACCATTGCTCGAATAGAACTTGAGAATTTGAATGCGATGTAGAATCGCCTGTTTGTTCCCAGCGCTTTTTACTTCGGTTCTAAATCCAATTGATTTGCTATTACTTATTAGATTTATCGTATAACCAAGTAAATTTAATAATGGTAAATAATAATAAACAAGTTCTTCAAAATAAAGGGAAGAGTTATAGAATAACATTGACAATGTTCTCATCTGAAGACTGCAAAATTGTGCTTATGCTAATGTTCATTTCTGTTACAGTTTCATCAAACTTTGAAGACTTATTTGAAAGACCGCGTGTGGGATTTTCATTTTTACGTTACGAAAACTTGGCTGGAACAGCCTGTGATACTTCATTTTCCTGGAATGACTAGAACGGTAAGGTGCTTGCCATTGTCTTATCTAATCAGTAATTTTTTTAATAACGTGTTGATTTTGCATCTAGCCTTTAGTGAAATCGGATACTGTAGTCATTTGCATGATTTGAAGTGCACATAATTGTTTTATGTTAAAGCTTGATACAAGCCTTTTTATGAACACGCAGGGTCAAGGTCGTTTCATGGCAAACTTGGATGTCTCATTAAATGCATCTTACTTTTCATTAATACCCTCCATATTAGGATTGAAGTGCTAGGTCATTTTACCTTTAGACTAGACTAACGCAATAGTATATTTATTATTATTACGCGCAATAATTGAGCTCTTACTCAAATGTTTACTATATTTATCATGCCATATAACCGTTGTTAACCATATTTATTGACATTCTTTTTTATCTTTATACCTTCGACTATGCTGTCGAACGCCGAACCAAAATAAAGTACTCAAGTAATTGCTCAACGATTGAGAAGCGGAATTGATGTAAAATATACACGGAACTACGAATACGAAGAACTGTGTCAACTTTAATGTTGATTGTTCTCGTTAAAAAAAATAACAGCTTAATTTGTTCAAAGTTGATGAATCAACTTTAATGCAGCGCAATATTATGTTACAGCATAGTTGCTTCATGTAAAATTAAAGAAAATTTAATTAATGACGTGGAAATTGGGATAGATTGGAGAGCAACCATCTGATCTAATAATCTGCTTTTTATGGATTAAGATAGACCAGTTTTAATTAAATGTATTATAAATAGCATAATATACTTAATAATTGCTCTCTGTGAACACACAGTCAGACATGGCAGCTCAATTTTGACGATCGTTAACTCAGAAATACTTTGAACTGTGCCAACTGTTGCATTGGTTCTACTACGTAGCTCTTGTGTCGTAGCAGTTAGAGAGCTGTATACCAATGATTTTAAATGGCACCAGAAATAAAATTCAACTGGATTAAGATTTAGTGATCGAGGTGGCTATGTCACAGACCCTTAAGAAATATTACTCACGTTCTTTTTTACTCGTTTATTTTAATGAAAGAAAGCGAAGTAACATATATTTTTTTGTAGCCGAACGGAAAACTATACGAGAGCTTCAGTGTCTTCTGTCCGTGCGACCAGCTGGAACACCTCCAGCTGCTCGCTGAAGAAGACGTGTTGATAGACTGGACACAACCCATCTACCTAAATTTGACTCACGCCAAGATCATGGCCAAGATAGAGGAGTTCTACGAGGACATTGGAACCATGGAAAAGATGTACGGGGATGTATATGGTCCAACAGAACCTTTGGAGGAAAAGGAGGAGGATAGTAATAAAATGTAAGTACCCAAGATGCAATAAATTGGAGCCTTAACAACTACAATTAAAGTTTTTAGAATAGTGATCTGAGGTCAAGAAGCAAAGATTTTTCGACGGTATGTCCAATGGTTTTAAAACCTAATATACGTTACAAAATATTGTGCTGTTGTCAAAAACAAAAGTTGTAGCCAGAAATCTCTTCATGATGTATCACAACAGTAGTACACAGAAAGAAATTAACCAAAGTATCTGGATTATTATTTGGATTTTCTCTTGACAAGGACATCTAGGTGTATGGTGCATCTGGTGTCCGGTTATATTCCACTGAGTGGTTCAGGAAATCTTCTATGTCATTGATATAATAACATAGGATTCGTGAACCACATTCATTATCTGACCAAATGAATAATAAGGCCAGATAATGAATGTCATCAGGATATCTGAACCAACAGTGCTTTAGAGTTGCTGACTTCAAAGCTTTCTTCTTGCATGATTTGCTATATCTGGAAAGAAAGGTGAACCTACAGCTGCTCCTTTGTCCATAAAATAGTTACTTAAATGAAAAGAATGTCTAGCTGGTGTCTCGTGCACACTTTTGCCAAGCCTACTAAACTATCATCCTTGTCGTCTGCGATAAGCTTTCGATGAAGTTTTGCCAAAGCTTCTTTAATTGGAACTTTTGTGAACAACGATGACGCGTCAAAGGCTAACCTGATCATCCAATCCTTTAATGGTTTCGACTTCTTTTCTTCGGATTCAGAAGTTTGACAGTTTATAACATGCTGACTCAACCCTTACTTATCCCATTGGGGAAACGTCGCTATGTGGTTTCTAGGGTGATGATGATTTTCTCTTTTGGAACCAACAAGGTTGGTCTTTATATTTCCTGGTGATTCCTTTAGGCAACGTTTGTGATGATAATCGATAGTTGTTCTTGTTTATATTAATTATTCTGACTCTGCGACGTTTAGATAGAACTTTGCTTCTTTATAGTCTCCTACATTGGCTTGGTTACATATCTGCACAATGCCCTGTCAACTGATTACTATCTGGGAATAGATTGACTGTAGGTTATAAGTATATGGATTGGATACACCTCGTCTTTCCACTGTGACCCTTAGTAGGTTCATTGCAAACTGAATCTAGCATTCAGTTTTTCTTTTTCGAACAATAGTCAGTACATTCTTGCAAAACCTTTACACCCAAACAATACATGGGTCTACCCTTCTACCAAGTCATTATTACTCAGATCCTTTCTGAATTTGCAATATCCACTTAGCAGTTCAACTGTTGTCGTTATTGATCTTCGACTTTGGTTCTCTTTCTACCTTCATTTCATGGTCAGCCTTCTCACAGCTCCGATGACCTTCACCTCGTATCCAAGCTAAGGTTACATAGTCTTACAAAAGCATCCAAACGACCTCAAGCACTGACGGCGTTTAATATTGCCTGATAATCGAAGTAAATAACTATTAATTATTGTTTTTTGGGTAGTTCATCACTTACATTGGTTCCTTCCTCATAGAATATGTTTTCCAGTGTATTCGCAGAGGACGCGGAGATGTCGCAGTTGTCGCCCGAGCATGCTCAGATGATCCACGACCTGTACCCAGCCAACCACATGGAGTGCGTGGAGGTGTTCGAGAAGCTGATAGAGAAGCTGCCCTGTTACGGTGTATTCTCCGCTTCAGGAGACTTGGCGGCCTGGATGGTGCAGTCCTACTACGGCGCCATGTTCTCCATGCAGACGAGACCCGAGTATAGGAGGAAGGGTTACGGTCTCATTCTTGCCAAACACCTGACCAAACTGGTAAGTTTTTGACTAAATATATAACAAGTTTGACAAAACTCGCAGCCGGACCTCTTTGTTGAGTGGATCTCCACGAAATGTTTTTCTCATGTGGCACATAAATATTTTACTTATAGGTACAAGAACGCGGCTACCTACCCTTCGTGGTAATCCGTCCCGAAAACGACGCCTCCAAGGGGCTCTACTTGAAGCTGGGCTTCAAGAAGCACTTCGAGACAGTGCGCGCTATCTTGCGGCCACACGAGATGGCCAGCGACGCGCAGGGCGGAGGGACGCCCAACGGCACCGACTCCGGCGCCGGAGACAACCAGTAAGAGCTTCTTTTACCAGTAAGAGATTAAGAAATGCCTGCGACGCACACACCTCAGCTAAGACGGCTTCTAGCCACGATTCCTCTATCGTTTTATAGGTTATGTACCATCCAGTTTGGTATCTTGTAATTTGAGTGATAAGAGTTGCGAGATATGTGAAATTAATCAACGAAACTTCTTTTAATCAATTATGCTTTCTTTCGGTGTCTTCTTTTACTTCTTTAACTGTCTTCACCTCGTGATCTTCATCATTGAAAGTATTTTGAAAGACCACAAGGAAGCGATAGATTTTCCAAACCAAAGTTTTGGGAAGAGATAAGAGCAAGAATCATAGAAAATTTGGTCACGTCTTGGAAGATGAAGCATGCGCTTAGATCAATGCTATTTCTAAATTATGATCCTTACAAAGTTAGATTTGTTCAGTTGCTTTCAATGGTGGAATCTCTCCCATTGAAGTTGATAATTTCATATCTCTCGAGTAGAAGTTTCTAACAATTTGGTTTTGTATCAACATTTTCCCAAGGATATCACTTTGTTGATTCAGTTTGTTGTTGGAATATAGCAGTGGTGCCCAAACTGTTATGCATGCAACCTCTTTCTTCAACTTATCAATTGCCTGAATTAAACTTCATAAGATTTTTCGTTAGTTTGTATATTTTTTTACATTTTGAAATGAGAGAGACAGAGATTGTCATTTAGTTTGGGATCCACTGCAGTAGAAGACGAATCTCAACTAGCATTGTTGCCTCCGCCCTTTCGACAGTTGTTTTCAAGAAAAACCGTTAAAAATATGAAAACGGCTGAAATTTATTTGATTAATTCGTGTCCAATTTTATTGTAACAGATCAAAAAGTGGATATAGACTGAAGCATATTTGAAAAATTACATTTCAAAGCATTTTCTAGCGACCAACCGAACCATACTTTTTAATGACGGGGGAAAGGTATTCTAAGCAGGGTGAAAATAAAAATATCATTAAACTGAAGTTAGGAACACTTAGAAAGTGCTCTTCAAAATGTATGTACTTCAATTAAACTTATTTGCTTCTGCATTTAACTGAAATTTCAAGTCTGGTTATGATTTTTTTCCTACACGACATTTTTTACTCTACGAGGTGGAGACCCAAAAATAACCGTACGAAATTCGTTGCGCGCACCGCTTTTGCAGTTCGGGCGTCTCCCGCTACATGGGGATTACATAACCCTTCTGAGTCAGTCTGTCAAGTGGTGTGGCTTGTGATGGTTGTAGCGAGCTCCTGGGACAGTTCTCATGCTACGACTATTTCGACCTCCTCGATTTTTTGTAATGGTTAATATTCGAGAATAGCATCTGACATTAAAACGTTTGTTTTCTGGTCGGTAAATGTGCATCGGATGCGGTTGATATATTGTCTATACTCAACAAGTCGCGATAAGTCACGACAAGTCACGACAATTCACGACAAGTAGCGACATGAGCCACCAACAAGTCAGTCAACAAGCAAGGGACGAATTTAGCCGCGATTCGCCTCGTTTGTAAATCTTCGGTTAAAATGTGTTGCAGTAAGTATATCCATATTTTCGATCAGCATACCAGCGCCGCGCATTTGAATCGTGAATATCACTCACACTTGAGTTCCTTTCAAGGCATGTTCTTTATAAGCTGTAGACAACATATCAACCGCGTCCGAAGCACTTTTACTGAACAGAAAACAAAACTTCAACGCCGCACGTTGTTCTCGAATATCAACAATTTTAAAGAATCGAAGAGATCGAAATAATTGTGCACGAAATCTGTCTCAGGAACTCGCTACAACTGCCCCAAGCAACGCCACTTAGTAGACTGACTCAGGACGAGTTATGTAACACCCATCTAGCGGGAGAAGCCTGAACTACAAGAGCGGCGCGCGCAGAGAATTTCGTCCGATTATTTTTAGTTTGGTAAATGTTTTTAAATATTTGAACCAAATTAAGCACAAATGACATTTCAGTCAAAGGTAAAAGTGAAACAGTTCCATACCTGCATATTATTAAGAAGAGCTCTTGTTTTTGTCGTGTACAAGACAGTATTACACAGGGTAACATACCAGGGCTATTCTTATAGTAATGGGAGTGCTTCTGACTCCACCCTGTATAGATTGTCTCCATCCCCTCTATGGTGCTCATGTAACAAGGGTGTAAGTTTTGCGAAATAGAGTCTAATAGGAAGAGTTCCAAAACTTCGTTAAATTGATTCGACTGTGATAATGCTTTCCCCATTGAGGAATTTCCAAATTTTTAAATTCTGGAAAATTGCTACTTCGCAAAATTTCCACAGGAAACGAAAGGTGGCTAAAATTAATTATTTTTGGAAGAGGATTGGCCAAGAGCTTTTTCAAACCCTAGTCAAATTATTGAGAAGTTTAATTTGTTGTAGTATGTACAAGGGCAGTCAAAATTGAACATCTATTGATTTGAAAGCTCGTCAAAATATTTTCATATGTTGCAGTTGATGAAAGTAAAAGAATATTGCTGAACTGCTTAGATATTTGTTTATTTTGACTTCCCCTGTCTACCATGGGAGCTACCTATTATTTTTTTAGGGTTTCGTAAACAGTTTTCCTTTTCCAATGAATTGTTTATTAATTTTCTTAGCATTGTGTCATTAATTGTATTTATTCAAGTTCGTATTAAACATATTTTTTAAAATAGCTTTCGCAATCATTCATATCCATACTCATACCCATCTACAGGGTGCTTGGCAGCGGTATGGTCGATACAATTGTTAATAAATGAACGTCTTGAGAAATTCACAAGCCCAATCCATTGTGAGCGCCCTGTATATCGAAAAAAGTTTACTAGAGAAATAAAACAGTAATTGATATTCATTCCATCATTTTTTTTAATTTGTTCCATTATTGAAATTAATGTTAAACGTAATTGATACAGTAATTAAGAAACGAAAACTAAAAATAAGATTTTGTTCACTAAACGCAATATTTTAAGCGCTGCTTTCACTTTATTCTATAATTATATTATGTATTAGTTTATAGGTCTTAACCTTGATAAATTTTTTAACAGTACTCACCTTTGAGCTTGGCGTTCCAATTTCCCAACATATTTTACCATCTAAGTCAAGTGCTTGAGATAGAAATAAACCTTAGATACTGAATCAATCTGAAATCACGCGTAGAAGATATTATTTTTTAATACAAGGGCTGTGCGAAAATTACAGATACATTTTGTTCGTCCCTGATTGTGAATCACTGAATTTTTGAGCTAAAATTTAAAACTAAAATTAAAGCGATGGCGTTAAACTTGAATTTTTGTTTTGATACCAAGATTTAAAAAAATTGGTGCTAAGAATTTATAAAATAGCATTGGTTTAAAAATTTAATTTAATTGAAGTTCTGTGTTGAAGTTTTCAGAACTAAAATTAACTTGTGATACCAAACTTTGTGTAATTGGTTCTACGAAAATTTTAATATTAAAATTAAACCTAAATTAAAAACCTAATTAAAGTTTATACCAAATTCTTCATCAAAACTAAAATCAAATTACTGAACTAAAATTCAGGCAACTATTTTTCACTACTAAAACATTAATTAGATGAAACGGAATTTTTTAGTTAAAATTTAAAAGTAAAATTAGGGTATTTAGTATTAGCAAAAATTTAAAAAACTAAAATTTAATTGTTCTATAAAAACTGAAAACTAGTATTATATTTTAAAACTATTTCTGAATACCAAGTTTCTTTTTGAATCAAAACTTAATTTTTTTAACTAAAATTTTCGCATTTATTTTTCGCAGCTAAAATTTATTTATAGTAGAATTGAGTTTTGAGCTAAAATTTAAAAATTAAATCAGTGACAAGGCTAATTTTAAATTTTAAATTGAAAAAACGTACTTGGTTTTGCTTAGGATTAAAAAGTTGTTACCAAAATTTATATAAAACGACTAAATTTTAGTCTCTTATGATTGTCAATTACATTCCAATGCATTGATATTGTGACTAAAAATTAATTTTTATCTGAAATTAAATTTAAAATTTTGGAACTAAAATTTAACTGTGATACTAAACCGTACATAATCGGTTTTACTAAAGTTTTGTCATTAACATTTTGAAACTATTTCTACAATACTAAAGCCTATACTAACTTTCAACAAAACTAAAATCAAATTCCTAAACTAAAATTTAAATAACTAAAATTCATGGCACTAGAGTTTAAAAATTTAAAAGTTCATTTTTGGGACTAAGATTTAACTGTGATACTAAATTTTCAATAAACTAAAATCAAATTCCTTAACTAAAATTCAAGAAACTAAAATTAATTTATAGTAGAAGAGAATGTTTGAGCTAAAATTTAAAAATACAATTAAAGTGACTATGGTTTTAGCATATGAAATTGATATGTATAAATTTACCATCGTCAATTAGTGTTAGTACTACAATATAATTTGTAATATCTAGCTAAAATTACAAAATGTTGGCTTTCCTTTTTGAACAGAAATTTTATTATGAAGTTAAAATAAACTCCAACCTAAATTCCTCCATCAGAAATCAAATTCCTGAACCAAATAACGAGCAATTAAAACTTAATTATAAGGAAAGGAATTTTTGAGCTAAAATTTAAAACTAAGATTAAAGCGATCCCGCCAAATTTGAATTGTGGATGATTTTTGTTAACTAAAATCAACTGATTTAGTGTTAATATAAGTATAAGAATAAAATAATTAATTTTTACTAAAAGAACTAAAAATTATAGTCTCGTATTGCCTATACATTATATAGAGCTAAAATATATTTTTCCTTGACTTAAACTTTATTAAATACTACTTATTAAAATTCTAATATTAAAATTTAGGACCAACTAAAGTTTATACTAAATTCCTGATAATTGAATCAAATTCTGAACTAAAATTCAAGCCAATATTTTCTGACAATTAAAATTTAATTGCAGTAGAACTTGTAGTATCTGTATATGTGCTTTTGCTCTAGACCAGAGAATTGTTTGATATCCAAAAGACGAAGTATATTTAAAGTAAACTGTGATAACACTCTAAGTTGTATAGTTTCCTTCGTGCTGTAGGACTATAGTTTAGTTCACCAGGTATTTAGTTTTAGGAATTGCGAATAATTCGATCTAAGAATGGCTGTGAACTTCATTAGTGACCCTATGCCTCTTTCAGATTGATTCAAATGAGCTCATATTAACTCTCTCTTTCTAGGTTACGGATATAGTTAGTCAGAGGTTTATTGATAACAGATATATTACACATCCCACTAAACAAATCGGTGTCCGCTGAACTTCAGCGTTCCCCTGGTGCATCGCGATACGGAGTTTTGCTCAAAACTACTCGTAGTACAAATATTTTTAAAAAATCACAGAAGCGAAGGGTAATCGCCGTTTTTTTGTTTGGTGGGACCTCCCGTTATTTTGGTGTTGAAATCGCTTTAGATTTATGGTACGTAGTCAAAGATACAGTCGTTTAGAGGCGACGGGACGCTGCTGCGCTGCAGTCGCAGAAAAATTGCTTTCATATCATTTTCGGGGCTGACAATCCAGCAGTGTCCCGCTGCAAGTTTTTATATTATGTACGTATAGTCCTGTCTTGAATATGTACGTACCATACCTTATTATAAAAACTATTAATGAATAAAAATATAATTGAATTTCTATAATTTCTTTCAATGGGACAATCGCCGAGGTTATATCTCTGTTACCGTTAAGGCGGGTATCCATTTGTGTCAAATGCCCCGTTGAGACGGGGTTACCCTTTTGGCCGTAAGTCTATTGCACATGTGATTTTGTCTTTTTTTTTTTGTCAGTCTTTTGTATATGGTCTGGGATCAGTCTTTTTCTGCAGTGACTACGAATAGTGTGTTTTTCTGTGTTTGTGCCATGGAATGGAGTAAAGAAAAGATTTCCATTTCTTATTCTTCAAAATTGTATGATGAATAAAAATATATGACGCTGCTGCTATCTGCAATTGCAGTGACGAATCCATTATTGCAGTCAGGTTCATACTGTTCCTGTGTTGTCTCGTAACCTTATTTTGTTACTTTAAGGAATGAATGATATGACCAAAACCACACATACTTTCGCAGCGAACCGTGTCACCTTTTGCAACAGGCCGTAACATGTTCGTTGTTACGTTACGGAGCATTGCCACAAATGGATACCCGCATTTAGAGATTCTATATTCGATCAGTTCGTGAGAGTGTTGCTTAGAGTCCAGGAACATCAATTCGTCACCGTGGTCATGAATTGGACATTTCGAGAAGCTTACTCACGAAAGATTTGTACTTTCATGCTTACGAAGTTCAATTGACTCAAGAACTGAAGCCTACTCACCACGAGAGTTCGTTGAATGGATTATGGAACAACTAGATGCAGTTTTTTCTCGAACAAAATCATCTTAAGCGATGAAGCTTATTTTCATTAGTAAGTGTTGAGAGACAAACGCATGCACAACGTGTTTTTTTTTGTGTGGATTTTGGGATGGAGGCATCATCGGACAATTTTTCTTCGAAAATGCGATAATCAACATGGTAATCCAGTTGTTTGTGTCTAAATTGCAAGATGTGAATGTAGACGTCATATAGTTTCAACAAGACGGTGCCACATGCCATATATTCCGAGAAACAATTCAATTACTGCTTGGGTTATTTCCTGGTCGTGTAATTTCCCGTTTTGGTTAACAAAATAGGTCGTCCAGATGTTTTTTTTGTGTCTAAGACATTTTAACAAACCTACGACCACCCACGCCAAATTGAGCGCAGTATTAACGAAATGTAGTCATATTTATGCCAAACGGTAATGGAAAATTTCGACGAAATATTGCGTATGTGCCAGCAAAACCATGGAGGCCATTTACTCGAAATGCTAGCAGCTAGACCATACATAAACTCTATACTTTACAAATCAATAAAAAATGTACAAATTTCAATTAAAAATCTGTGTTTTCTGTCAAAATTACTTCCGTAAATTTGAGACACCATTTTTTATGACAACAAATTCTGACATTTTGAAATTGTTAAAAAGGTTAGCATAGAAATATTGCCCCATTTTATTAGGATTATTTATCAAGTGGCCTCCTTGTGAAAATTATAATTAACTTTTAGAACAAAAGACATTTTTAAATGGCAGTGCCAAAAGTGTTCACAGTACGGCTAGATTAATGTAAACTGTTTTTTACCCTTTTTACTAATTTTGTCTGCATTTAATTTTTTTTAAAATTTTTCCGCACAAAAAATTTTCAGCGAACCTAAATTTGGAACATGTTTTTACAGGTTTGTAGAAATAAAATACTGAGATTAGGAAACATTTCTATTTTCAGTGCATTTGGTTGTATATGTATACAATAAATAGTTAAAAAAAATAATTATTAATACTAACATACCTACATCTAACTATAACTATGACTAGTCAAATAAAATAAACACCACAAGTAAAACATAGGAATTAGAATTTTAAGCCGAAATACTACACAGCTCCATAAAAAATCTCTGAGTCCGAATCCGGGGTAGGTTTAACCCCATCACGTCAGAATTTTCCATAACCTTAAAAATTAAGCCCAAAAACCCCATAACACGTAAACTATTTAATCCCCAAGCATCTTAACCCACGTAACCCCATAATCCCATAATCCGATCATCCCCAAACCCTATAAACCCCATAACCTCCAAATCCGATCAGCAACAGAGATTTGGGTCTCTAACGCCGGGAGGTCTTAGTCAATGTGCTGTTTCTTGACGTGTAGCGGACCCCATCAGCTTATAACCTCTAAACCCCCTAACTTCATCATCCTCCAACCCCATAAACCCCAAAACTCGATAACCCAATAAACCCATAAACTTGAAAATTAATTTTCTAATTTTTACGAAACCAATAAATGACTCTCAACAGTGTGAGATGCTCCATAACCAATTTGAAATTATCGCGTTACTTTTCAAATTCCCTAGAGAATTTCATCTTCCGACCGCCAGTGGCATCTATCTTAATTTTTTACATTGCACAAGAGAAAATATCATTCCTACTTATAAGTATGAGTAGTTTGGCAATAAATGAAACAGAAGGAACTCCTGTACTTGATTGAATACGCTTCATAAAGGAATGAATTCATATGTATATGAATCCTCTGTTGCTGATCAGGTTTGGAGGCTATGAGGTTATTGGGTTTTGGGGTGTATGGGGTTTGGGGATGATGCAGTTAGAGGGTTTAGGGGTTGTAAGCAGATGCGGTTCGCTACACGTCAAGAAACAGCACAGGCCTCCCGGTGTTAGAGATCCAAATCTCTATTGCTGATCGGGTTTGGAGGTTATGAGGTTATGGGGTTATTGGGTTATTGGGTTTGGGGACGATCGGATTATGAGATTATAGGGTTACGTGGGTTAAGATGCTTGAGGATTAAATAGTTTACGTGTTATGGGGTTTTTGGACTTAATTTTTGAGGTTATGGAAAATTCTTACGTGATGGGGTTAAACTGACCCCGAATTCGGATTCAGCGACCCCAAAAACATAGGGTAGGGTAGGTCTGGTTTTTATTGTGGAGCTGTGATTATTAAGTTTCACAATTTCTTATAATTTCAAAAATTGTATAGTTTTTCTTACTAAATAACAAAATATTGAACAAATATATAACTCTCTCTTTATGTAAGTAATGGTGATGGATAAATGAAATGTATTATTTTCTCGTTTTATCTTTGTACAGTGAAGAAATTCTAATAGGTATATTATGAAAGGCGTAAGGCACCTGTTGCAGAAAATATATTCTTACTATTTTGCTATATACAAATTCAGACCTGAGTCACATTGGTACATTATCACATGATATTGCGCAATAACCTTTTTTTATTTTCAATTTTAGATGCCAACTATAAAATTAAGGACAGTTAGGCTATTATTGCAATGAGATGTTTGAAATTAAAAGTGAAAAACACTACCTTTCTAACGCGTATATAAAAATATGAAATTATTTACAATAAGTATTACTATTTATAAAAAAATCTATACACGTGTGCCACAACTAACCAGGGGTAAAAAACCTATAACTCATTGGTCAACGCTACACTTCAAAGATCAGCTTTTTAAGGAGAATAAAATTTACATATTTAATAAAAGTTTTACCTAAGACTGGAACCTTCTATTATTGGTTCTCATTCGTCGTCTTTTGATATGTTTATAACCATACACGACTACCAATAAACAGCTTACAAAGACCAAAAGACCAACACCGGCATACATCGTAGTGTTGCTTGTACGAGATGGTCCACCACTTGGATCGGCAATGGAGCTATTCACATTAGGCTGATCGCTTTGAACGACATCTTGATGCTCTTGCTCCTGCATCTTGTCCACCGTTAGCCCAGGCTTGATTGCAGGTGGTGGAGTAGTGGTGGTGGTAGTTGTAGTGGTGGTTGTTGTGGTGGTGGTCGTTGTGACAATAGGTGCTTGCTTCAAAGGGGCTTCCTCGAGGTACTGTTCCAACGGCTGGAAATACTCCAACAAGGCTGATGCGGAAAGGTCGAGACCGTAATTCAAAGTGACTAAGTATACCCAGTCCATCGTAGGTCTGTCTTTAATCATGGATCTGTGGAAAGTATTTTATAGTTAATCTAAAATGAGATAATCTACCTAAAGAATGACGTTTTTTTCTGACTTTTAAAATCTTGATTGATCAATTGCTCAGGAGCTATTGATTTCGAAATTGGTACCATACAAATTCCTTGTAGGAGCTAGCTAATCATAAAATTCAAAGAAAAACCAATAGTTAGTCTACCGAGCTTTTACGAAATATGCATCGTTCATAAGTGAAAACCCAAACACTATCATGAACATAGAAGCTGGTCAGAAGTATGTAGATAAGTTGTTTGTAATTAATCTTTATTGCATCAATTTAGTTCTTCTAAGAATCGAAATAAACTGAAAGAAAACTTTTTACTCTACTCACTGGAAGTTTTGATCATTTCCAAATTCAAAAGCAATATTTATTTCAGGATCTGCCATCTGGCTTCGATAGTAGTTGACGAACTGGAAGGCCAGGAGAGTTCCAAAAAAATTGCTGCAAATAAAGCGATATCAAATAATTTCAAACAATAACACAACGGATCTTATCACCCACCTTATGTATGGTTTATTTGATGTGATATATTCATCTCTCAAGAAATCACGTTCTGCACCCGATACACTTTTTATACCTTGGTACTCATTCCTGTAAACAAAGAAATAGGTACTTTTTAATATGTTTGTATTGATATATCCACAGCTCTGACATGAGTTCTACGAATCCAACATTTAAAATCAATAACAGATGCAAGATTTTCCACATGACTCATACTCATCAAATATTAATACTTTTATGTACCTCACTTTCCACCAATACGCTGCAACGTTAGCTGAAGGGACATCTAGTTCTTGTAGTCTCCATTCGTCAGCTGCTAGATAGTAAGGTAACTGGGGAAGAAATCTTAGGGCTACAAGCAAGAGTTTCGTCATTTTCACAGACTCATCGGTAACATCAGCGACTGTTTTTATACCATGATAATGCATACTTTCAATCGCAAAAAGAGGTCCTAAAAAACAAATGTAACTTAAGTCAAATAAGAAATTAACAATAAGTCAATAAAGGCTTTATCAAAAGTGTATCTCAAGGATCACTACTGAGGCCAATTTACTTAGTATTAATAAGCAAGTAGGAAAGAAATATTTTTTGGAATATTTTGCTAGTTTCTTTGTTTTGAACACTGACCTAAAGCAGCAATGGCCTCATCTACGCCAGAGTATCGCAAATTCTGACGCATCAACGAGGAGTAATCTTGATTCCTCAAGGCTATTCTGAAAACAGTTTCATGGGCATCTAGATAGGTGACCCAGGAGGGTTCATCACAGTCATATACTCTGAAAATTAATCGCGAAAATGAATCGAAAGTTTTTCGTGCTTAAAAAATAAATCTGTTGACTTGTTACATAAACTTACTCGGAGTACTCATCAGCACAAAAACTGAAGATATGAGGTTCGCAGTAGGTCATATTGAATCTGCTATTGTTCCAAAATTTTTCTCCTAATGTACCTAAGGATGTAGCATGGGTAAGGTTTTCAGCTAATATGTATACCTCTCGTAGAGACTGAAACACGAAAAGTGGTAAAGACAAAAGAAGTTTTGCGTTATTTGTAATCAAAGGACATTATTATTATTACAGCTCGACATTTGCGTGCAAAGTCAGTGCTGTCACAAAAAAATTAACTGTGTTAAATGTATTAAATTAAATTTACCAATGTTTCATGTTTTAAATAAAAGAGGGGCCTCGCGTTTTTTTTAAACACATTACATTTATTAATAAAAAAATTTAACATATTTTGAAAGAAACGTTTTACATCCAAAGATACTAAAAATATTGATGTAGATCGTTCGTTGTATATTGTTCACGTAAACACTGCAAAATACTACGTAGTTGTAACAAGGTCTGGATTTTTTTGTAGTAGGTCATTAAATTTATTTGTTATTTCAGCGTAAATCAAGAAATTGTTTAATAAATGTATCAATTTGACAGACACATCTTGGACGAAATATTTTGATATTTCTTGAAATCAAAGGAACAATACGGATCTCCAATGGATCCCCCACTTCTACGTCTTATTTTCTCACGGAAGTGTCGAACTGTCTATATTTACCATGAAACAGAATAGATATAACCAAAAAGGTTATATTATTTTACAGAATATTTGTTTGAAGTTGTCATTAAAATCATAACGGAGTTGGACATTACCTTATATTTCAGGAAAGTTTCAACATCATAATGCAATTGGGGGTGAGGTAAAATGATGTCGGCTATGTAACTCCAATCATTCCCGAAGTTACTACCTACAAACATGAAACTTATTTTCTCTAAAACATTATCCTTACAAAACACTTTGTTACTGACATGTTTTAATTAATAAGGAAAAAAATATGCTATACATAGTTTGTTTTACCTAAAAGGAATACAGGGATTTCAGCAGTCTCATTTATTTTGTAATAATTGTTCAACCTGGTCCTAACAAATCTGTGCAATTTTAAATATAATGGCTTTATTTCTTCCCAGAATTCTCTAGCTTTCGCATAGGCCCCGCTGAAGTCATTTAAATATTCCCAGTAACTTGCCACATCCTCAAACTCTAAAAAAATACAAAAATTACATTTACGACAAATCTAACTTCACTTTATGAATAATGTAGAGCTAGTACTTTGAAAATCAATTAGAATTGGTTATTTCATGCCTCTTGATAAAAATAAAAGTATTAATACAAGAAAATCTTATAAAAATATTAAAATGGACTAGTAAAAATAGAAAATTTTGCTCAAATTAACCGCAGACGTCAATGGCTTCTATTTTGTATAGGAAAATTTGTAAAAACTAGAACTTTGAACTAAAGACTTTGGCTTATCCCACTACTAAGTAAAAAGTGATTATATGTTATTGGGTACTGTTTTGTTTACATAAAATTGCAAATTGAAATGAAGCCAAGTAGACATACCTGATAATTGGGCGAAGGTTTCTCCTTATCTGGATAAAACATTGAATAAAAAAGGAAAAATGGAACAATCAGAAGATAAAGCAATATGGAAACTGGAAAAACAGCTTTACAAGAGTTAGTTTATTGTTGCCTTAGATCTGTAGCAAGTCGAATTTAAGCGTAATATAAGTACAAATGGGTTTACACGTTTCTTTAAATATCTGCTAATATAAGCGAATTATAAAAATTTCCTTTATTTGTAATTACTTTATATTTGCACGTATAAAAATTTGTGATATGACATACGAGGAATGAATAAAAACAACAAAGTAAAACAATAAGCTCACACTGAAAATGGCACTCGCAATCAATGTGGACAATATAATAATTTTAATATTTATCCTCATAAAACCAATATTTATCAACACTATTTTTTTAGTTTTTAGTTTTGAATACATTTCAATTCAATCTATTACAAATTGCATATAAATTTAAGCATCTCAAAAACATTATGTTCTATGACGTTCAGTATTGCTTATAAATAAAATTAAAATAATTGCAGGGCAACAAAATATTTACTACTAAGCACCAAAAATAACTCGTAGTTGTAAACATCTAAGGCTGCTGTTTCAAGTAAATGCAACCGAGTACCGAAATAGAATGTGATACGAATATCGATGTACACATTTGAACTTTAATATTGACAGATTAATGAAACTGACAAAAAAAATACGCCAAAATTGTGTATTTTATATTTCTCTACACAGGAACTATGTAGTCGATCTGAGGGTTCCTTTGTCGAACGGCTCGTAAAGCTATTGCGCCCTAGATGGCACCACTAGATCGCTGAGCAGCCAGCGTTAACGCTGTACCCATGCATGTGTCGAAGACTTAATATTTCAAAATTCAATTAAACATGTTATGAAACCATGTGATTCTGCCAATTAATTAAAAAATGATGCTTGTATATACGGTATGGTATACTGTAATGAATGAGTAGTTATACCTACCATTTAGTGATGCTGCCTTTTTTGTTAATTCTAAAACTGTTGAATATTCGACTGAACTGGCACCAAAAACGTGTTGCCAAGAGAACCAGGTTGAATTGAGCAGATCCACATCTCTAGAGGTTCTTAAAATATTTTGATATTCTACAAAAAAATAATAATTTAACACCGTTCTCAACTATTATTTGCTTATTTTTCACGTAGTTTTGACAAAATAAACACTAAATATTACGGAATTGTGTTAGTATATGTACTACACAGAAAATTAATATGCCGAGCCTTCTTTCACACAAAAATTGCGTTCTTTGACGCCTTATATTAGTGAATGTGGACAGAGGCATTATTACTACTAATAACAATAAAAGTATTATAAATATTTTGGAAATTATTATCTAACTTTATATGTATAAATTTTATCACATATTTAAATTAAATTAGACTAAGATAACGAATGTTTTACCTCCTTTGGTAAATAGACATCCCTCGGTATTGTTTGAACAAGGTACTTTCACTATGCTTTCAATTTCTTCGTTATCATTATGGTAAGAGACTAACTGAAACAAATGCAATTCGTTATTTGAAACAGCTGATCACTTACAATAACATTTCAAAAGCAAAAACAATATTTTCTGTATTTATTTATATACATCACGAAAAGTTTTAGATAAAGTAAAAATTTAAGTGTCAACTTTTACACTTTAATAAATTCAGAGGCTTACGAGTATAATGTATGTATTTTGCTTCAAAATCATTGAAAATAGAACAAGTTCAATCTCTATTTGGAATTATAATCGACATAGTTACCCATGTCATTGCAACAGGTGTTGTTTATATTGTTTTGGTATTCTAAATTTAACTTTTTGCAATTAAAATTCTATTGTTTGTTAATCAAATTCAACCTTTTGGGGATTTTCTTAAAAATAAATGCAAATTTGGAACTACCAATCATATCTCGCCATTTATTCCAATAGGCTCTTTTACCAAAGGTGAACAAGCAAACTGTTATGGGTTACGTTATGTACGTGCATGTTTGTATTTCTATACATTGTTTTCATATATACTGCTTAATTATGAATATGAATTACATACATTACATATTTATGAATAGGTAACTACTATGTGTACTAAGTATTTGATGTATGTCTTTGTAACACAGCTTTTGCATACCCAATTTACTTTTTAGAAACCAATTTGCAAATCAAATTCCCTTTTTTGCATATGGAATTCAACCTTTCGCAATTCAAGTTCATCGATTTGAGACTATAAAAATGATTATCTATCGTAAAATGAGGGTCTATAACTTTACAAAAATCTGTAATTGAAACAAAAAAATCGTTTTTCAGTATTTCATTAATTGGGCTTTCTTGAACAAACTCGCTAATAGTTTGAGTCTGTATGTCTCAACTTTTCTAAAGCAGCCAAACGAGGAATAACGTACTTTAGTAATATAATAGTAACATAATAAAAACCTCATTCGAAAACTTTATATGAATGCCTCAAGACTTATTTCTTTACGAAAATAATTGTTGTTTACTATTATTTTTTTTTCATAAGGGGGAATAATGAATCAAACATTTACCATATTTACCGTGAGCTTAGCAAAATATCAGGTCTTATGTCACTTTGCAAACCAGCGATTTTGACCTGTAAAAAGACTAGTTTAATTTTTTTTATTACTTTTATCGATTTTAACATATTTTTTGCAATTTTTTTATTTGTTAGCTTGTTTAATTAATTTTCTGACATATAAAAGTGTGTACAATTACGTTTGCAATTTATTACAATTTATTTTTGTTAAAATTTTGTATTTTTATCATTTTAATTAGACATATATCCTGTCAGTTAGATATTGTAAAAATAAACAAATAAATAAGAATAAAAGCTTAGAAAACAAAATTTTTTGGAAAACTTTACATGATTTGATTTGCAAAAGATTTAAATCTGTATGAAGATGCAGCAAGACTGAAAAAACTTCGTTCGAAAATGATTAAATCAAGCGTCATTGTTAATTTTATTTGCGAGAATGTAAAATCTCCCATTCAGATATTAACCAGATCATTTACCAGTTTTATTTTTTACTGTTTTTACAATGTTACTCTCGTACCGTATTCCACTCTTCTTCAGGTAAAAGCCCATCACCAGGTTTTAATAAAAAGGTATAGTTCCTTTCAATTTCCTGAGGGATGTATTCATATTCCTTCAAATTCTTGGTTTCCTCCGTTAGCAAACTACCGTATGCTTTATCTGCAGCTATCTAAAACAAAAGACAGGTGTAGTAGCTCACTCGAGAGCATCAGCAACACTTGGACAAGTTTTGGTTAGGACCAAGACGTCATCCATCTTACCTTTTCATTGAAGTCTCCATGAAGAACGCCTGACCTCAATGCTTTTGACAACTCGTTACACGCATCCGCCAATTCCATATCCGCTAGCTGCAGTTCCGCCATCAGTTTTTCCGAAGAAAAACTGCCCCAGACGAAGCAGTTACACAGCACTAAGAGATATGTCCACAAGTTTACATTTGGCTCCATTTTTATCTAAAATTGAAGATAGTTTGTAATAGACGCTTCGCAAAATGCCGATACTTTGAGTAATCACAATTATAGCGTATGTAGGGGGATTTGCAGCAACTTTGACTTTTAAAACTAAAAAGTATTAGCTTACACTGTAAAAAAAATCGGTGTGACTGAAAGCAATAAAGGTTCAGAGTGTACGTTTTGAACATTTTACTCATTTGTGATTATTATTTAAACTAAAATTAAGTACTTTCACTCAAATATAATTACTACTTAAATAAATTCTTCACGTAAACTCGTATTTGGTGCACTTGTACATAAATCGAAGTAAATGTCCCCATTACTGAGAGAGTTTAAATTAATTTCGATTTGAGTTGAGTGATATTGAGTGAAACTGAGTGAAATTTGAGTGAAATTTTATTACAGTGTAGGTTAGGTCAGGTTAAGTTATGTTAGATGAGGTTAGTTTCATTGGATCAGGTTAGACAAGCTTTGGTTTATAATATTATCATTTTTGTCTATTATTTAAAATACCGGCATTTTACTTATTGCTTATAGTCTCTCAGAACAGGATGATGATATGGTTGAGACATATGTAAAATAGACATTTGATTTTAGTCATCATAGTCACAGTTGCGTCCAAATTAGTCATAGACAAAGGTCAAGGATGATGTATGAAGTGACTATATTAGCATTTTATCAGTCCAGTTACCGGGCTGATATTCTATTGTTTTATACGCTTTTTACATTGACGCAATGTTTCAAATCGGGAAGGTTACATTGTTACATGCTAGGGCAAAGATGACGTTTCGGACCTGTTCATAAAATGGATCATAAACAAACAAATGTTATTGATACGAAACGGTTATCTCTATAATGTATCCATCTTGGTGTCCTTGAACAAAGAATAATGTTCGTTATGGGAATGTTGAGCCAGAACAGGTGTATTTTCTTCAAATTAGTGACATATACATACATGTATATTAGGGTATAGCAAAAAATTGTTTTTTTATGAAAAATAAATTATCTTGGTTCAATAATTTGAAGGAAATTTATTGAAATACTGCGTTGTCGTAGATAATTCGTCAGTAGAACCACCAGACATCGAACTTATCGAATGATCTAACTATTTTGATGTCTATTTACCCACATGGTTTGAGTATGGGTAAGACGAAGTGTGTTATATCTTAAATAATAATTTTAAGATATAAAATTATATTTTCAATGATTTAAGCTATAACTCATTTTGCTGTCAGATATACTCAAATAAGCAAATTTTCATAAAAAATATTAAATTAGTAAAATTAGTTGGCAATAATTTTGTCTTTGTAGAAGCTTAAAATGAAAAATCATTTTTATATAGAAGCTGCATTTTTTTGGAATTTCAAAATCTATACTTTCTCTTATGGAAACTATTAAGGTTATTGCCAACTTATTGTATTGAAACAGCTTCCCTTCCAGATTTCTTTAATTTAAAAAAATATTTCAATTATTTCTCTCAGATGTGATAAATAAAAAATCATTAAAATTAAAGAAAAACTTGTTGGTATCAAAATAATAAGAAGAATGGAAATGTCTACTACTACAGAGTGTTTCATTTAAAAAATTGGGATGAATACGTTTGAATATACTGTATTGCAAACATGATGGTGGACTAATGTAACATTATTTTCGTGTTGAACAGTTGTAGGTAGCTATGCCTTTTAAAATTTTGTGAAAAATTGTATTGAGATTGAGACGATGTCGGAGATCTCCAAATGTCCGCTCAAATATTGAATGAATTTAATTAATACTAAAATATGTTTTATTTTAAAAATACATAAAACAAACAAGTCGTACGTGAAAAATATTTCGCTTTGGTTACTATGAGACCAAATATTTTATACCAGTCACATCTGCTGCCACCAGAAATTTTTCCAAAATAATATTTTTGCCACAATTTAAGCTTGTAAGTTATCTTACCGGTTGCTGAACACATACATACATTTTATTAATTATTATGAACGAATATTTATAGTAATTGTTATTACGTTTAGTAACATTTATAAAATTTGGATAATTATTCCCCGCGCGTTTACTAATTATCACATTTTAAAACAGCATGATGCGACGTACTACGACGTCATTGTAAAGAATCCTGTTGGCTATTTAATTTTTGTTACTATTACTGTCAGCGACATAACTTTCTGCAATTGTGAGTGATTTCCACCCACCATGTATCTTGCTTGCTAATACATCAACTCTGTATTAGCCAGTAACGTTGCCGATGTTCTTCGGAATGAATAGCCTGTAGATGTTTCAGGATGTTCTAGTTTCAAAAACTGTGCAATCTTATTAGGAATCATAGAAAGGGTATTCTTGCTGACTGATTTACCAGTCTCGGACTCTATTGCTAGCCCTCGCTCCGCTCGGACGCAAAATCGTCATCGACTGATAAATAATACGTACCTCCTTTATGGTGTAAACTATTAAAAGTCACAACATAGCAATGCGCATTGGAAGATAACATAACTTAAAGATAAATATAGAAGACTTATGGAAAAAATAACGGAATTGAGTTGAAATCAATACTTTATGTGTCACATTTTTTTAATAACCCGTATACGTCTTACTAATTTTAAAATTCACATTTTTCATTTTACTTATATCCTAAAATCAGGTTTTTAACTGACTGAAAACAAGGCTTTGGTAGAAAAATCTGTATCCTAATTCGATTCAAGAAAAATCTTGTTTTATAAATTCAACAATGTGTTCGCATTCTATCCCAGTATTCTACAGGAAACCGCTGATAATCGCTGATAATGTACGAGTACATGATTACAAAATTTTCACCTGTTATGTGCGATAAGAGATCATCAACAGAAAAAATAGGTTAACAAGGGAGTTATCTATACATTTTTTATGTATTTATCTAATATTTGAATTCATTAGGAAATATCTATCTAATGAGTGAACCTTGGACCTAAGTACATATTTTCATCACTCAACTAATTCTACAAACAAAACTACCATTGTTCCATAATGTTTGTCCTTTTGTGTCACAAAACTACTTTAAATTTTTATCTGTATTCATCAAGGTCATTGGACTGTTAAAGTCAAAGTTCGTGTATTTTTTTAATACAATAGAGTTTTTTTCTTAGATGCCATCAGTTGGTACTGAATTTGATTCTAACAAATCCACACTTTTTAACGAATTTTCAATACTTTTTTTTATTTGTGCGGAGATAAGAAAATGTTACACTGAAATTAACTTCAAATGATTACTATAATAATTTTTGTTTAAAATTGATTAAAGTTCCATCTACAAACTATTTCACAATCAGTCAGAATTGGGCCGCAATTTTGTAAGTATATTTCGCAACAATACCCTATTTTCTAATATACATATACAAGGTGTTAACGAAATAAGTACTCAAAATTGAAGAGTATATAAAACATTATAAAATTTGCCTCATGGTCCCACATTTTCTTACGCCCCTGTAGCAAATTTTGATTTGTATATTATGCCGATTATTAAGCATATAAATAGTAATACAACCCTAAAATTTTGCGATTTAATATTAGACCGTTTTGAAATTATGCAATAAAAACTGTTTCCTGAGTTACAACTTCAAGGGGCTGTATCTTCCTTGTATACTAAACCCTCTAAAAACTAATGCTGCTCAAGAAATTTTAATTAGAACTAATACTATTTCTCATTTTGCAAAATAACTTTAATCACTTTCATTTTAAACAAAGAAGTTCAAATCAACTTTTAATATTAGCATATATGAGATGAAAATCTCGGCGAATTAATTTTTAAATACTATCTCGTAAATAGTTTTAAAAAAATTCTAAAGTCTCTGAAAATATAACGGTTCTCATAATTGATTATCTTCAATTATTTTCAAGAAAATCACATTTCTCTAGATATTTCTCGATACTTGTTTAATGTCTTGCATATTTTGTTAAAATTGTTAATTTATTATTTCTCCTTTTGACGGATGTGGAAAATTCTGATACACTGCCATATTTAAAATATTTCTATTTACATAATTATCATATTTTAGATAATATTTCTGCCAAGGGCAAAACAATAATTACCCAAAATTTAATTGAACTACATTATCAAAACAGGTTTCGAACGTGCTCGTAGTATTTAAACAGTAAACAAACTAAGTATGTGGCTATTCATAAGACATATTAGGAGTATTTTTAATTAACAAATTGTCGTCATTACCAAATTATAAACAATAATTATTTAATTTTATTTACTACAGTACTGAAGTGATAAAAACCAAATGTCACTTTCACATGCTCAAATATTATACTGACAAGCATTTCATCGAAACGATTAGTTCGTACCTACTCACAATTAATATTTTTTACAATGATAAAATTTTGGAACGTTGTAAATTTTATTTGTACGAGTTCTAGTTTTTTATTCTTTAACCATTTTGGTAACATGATTAAAATAATGATATATTTGAAAAAGAGGGTTTAGCGGATTTTTAATTTTATTAGAATCATTAGTAGTGAAGTTATATTCCAATAGTACATATTTCTCTAAACCACAGTTTTACTTCTAGTAGTAAATATTTAGGGTAACATTTACCTATTTAGTATTAATATGAATAAGATAATCAAATTTTACAGGAAAGACCTTAGATATTTTTTATGATAAACTTTTAAGAGAATAAATACAATATTTTATGATTTCACACGATTACTTACTACAAATTATTTGTGGTTTTTTTTTCAATATTACATATGCTACTTTGGTATATGTTCACTGATTTATGACTACAGATAATATGACTATACATAATTTTTTTCTTTCTACATATCTTTTAGATTTCTATTATATTCGTTCTATTACAACAAAATATATCAATTTTCTGTAACTACCATTTGTTTACTGCATATATTCCGCATTTATTATTAATTTATTAGTTTTGTTAAAACTGCATTGTCAAAATTCCCTAAAGTTATCAGTTAATCGAACTGCAATAAATAACAGAGTATTAATTAACAATAAAATATAATCTAACGTCAGACTCTACGTCATATACCTACGTGTGAAAATGTTAGGTTATGTTCAAGCACCACTTGTTCCAAAATAATAAACTTACCTGGTCAGACGAAAGAAACAACTGTTGGTACTATCTACGTGGGAAAACTCACAAACTACTTAAACCGAACGGACCTTTGACCTATGGTAATTATCAGCGTAAATACAAACGAATAAAGACACACTGTATTTTCACTTAAACATGTCTTGTATTTAGTAATTTATTCGGTTTGGTACTTAAAAATTACGAACTTGTACCTACAATCATGTACAGCAACAAACTGATGTTACTCAATGGACGCGATAAATGTAACCGCGTACGAATTCTACCTGAGTGGCTAGATGACTCAAACTGTAGTAGAAATCGAGTGCGACAATCATCAGACCTTAAAATCATGCGGCTTTATTATTAGTATATTCCAGTGGCGTGACTTGCTGCGCCAAGAGAAGCGCTTATCTCTTTAAGGCATACGAACCGCATTCCAATGCTCTGCAAATGTGTAAAAACTATTGACATTGATACAAACATCAATTGTTCCACAAGGATCCCATGCTGGCCTCAATTATTTAATACATTCATTTTTAATAACTTAATATTTAAAATTTTAACACAGCCTGTTAGAATACAATGTTTGATTATAGAGACACCGAGCCAGAACTCATTTACCCGTTTTTGGACATCCAAACTTTCTGTCGAGAGGTAGAACAAAATGTCAATAACAAAAGTTTTGCGCAATGAATCCGGCTTTCTATATTTGTATTATGTAATATACATGAATAGGAAACATTTTTAAGAAAAATTCAACTCTATGTTTCAAAATGTAGATTGCGCCCGCTAGTGACCTCGCTGACCTTAGTGGCACACCCTGTATATATACTTTACAGGGTGTGCGAAAATGGGTAACCGAGTTAGAGCTCGGAGCATTTATAATCAAACAAACTGTAGGTTGATAAAAAGTTGTATAACATATATTTATGCACACATTTTTTGGAGATTTCCTGACACTACCCCATCTTTTTTTACTTTAAGAAATTTCTGTGTCCTTACGAGTTAAAAATGTATTAGTGTATGAGTAACTTTGTCTTGTCTTATAAATTTCCATTAATTTGTTTTTGTAGTCCCTGTTATAGTTAATTCGTTTAGATTACTTCATCACAGAGACCGTCAAGCTTTTCAAAAATTTTCCTCAGATACACCATAATGGACTTGGAATGAGTTCCTTTGTTAACGAAATCCAATAAAGTAAGATACATTAATTTACATATTTCTACAACTTAAGGTGACCTAAAAATGGAATTGGTATTTGAATATTAATTTACGTATAACACAATTTTATGTTTTTTCACCCAATATAATTGTTTAGTGCTACGGCACTGACGGGCGATAAGGACAATCACAATGGTCAAAAGTCGTTTTGATAAAACAGTAAGCGAGCATTATTGATAGCATTAGATATCAAATGTAATGTTTTATTGTTACTGCTAAACGCACTTTGATATCAACATTGCTTTTATACTAATAAAAAAAATTGTAATGAATTTCCTAATTACTGTCAAACAAACAGGAAATAAGGCGCGCTTTATAAAGAATAATTAAATGTTTATCATGCTTAAATCAGTTGTGGCAAAGAAGGGCAATGAACTTTCATAGAATAGCAATAAGTTAACCCGTCTCCACACAAGTCTTCGAGTTCTGGTCTAGTCTCTGTAAAAATCTGGCGTTTTTACATAAGAGCAGAACAGACATTGGATATGAAAGTAGGTATAAGATAATAACATTTGCGTGCGTCCAGTTTTGCGTTTCACGATAACATCTTCTATTTTGTTAATTTTTTTACCTTTTTCGGTAAATGTAGTTTCAACATTATGGTTATCCAGTACACCATTCGGTGGTAGTACGTGAAGTACTTGATCGTGATTGCAATGGTCGCTGGATCGATAGAGTTGCTCCGATAATTTGGCTTGCTAGATCACCAGATCTTACTTCGCTAGATTTCTTCCTGTGGGGCTATCGCAAAGGTAAAATTTACAAAGAAGAACCAACAACATGTGAGAATATGAGCGAATTAGAAATGCTTGTGCCGAAATTCAAGCAGATACACATCTCAATTGTGTAAAGTTATTTTAAATCAGGATTGATACGTGCATTGAAGTCGAACGCCGTCATTTTGAGAACGTATTTTAACTGAAAGATGATGAGGCGAGGGTACTAATGTAAAACAAGCACTCTGATAAGTGAGAGGTGAAAGGAGTCACATAAATCAAGTACCTTGATAGGTGAGAGGCGAGAAGACTCATCTAAATCAAGCACCCTGATACGTAAGACGCGAAGGGACTTAATCAAGCAGCCCGAAAGGAACAGAAAACTATAAAAACCAGGGAGATCTGTTTTGAGGTGCATGTGAGAGGGGGAAGCAAATTTTTTCTGGATTACCTTCAGTACAACTTGCATAATAAAAGTGTAGATCCCTAGATCTGGGCGAGGTCCCGAACATTTTCAAAATTGCAAAAATGTTTAAAAATTTTTAAAAATACCTATTTTATCTGAGTTTTTTACTTATATCTTGGAATCTATGCCTTTTGGAAGAATATTGAAGAGGAAAAAAGTTTTAGAATTGGTTGTCGCACAATATACTGTAAGTTAAAAATGTTTAAATTTATTACCGCTGTTGCAAAATAGCAATAATTGATGAAAAAAGGCAAAATAATCAAGTTCTTTTGGATAATTTTTTAAAAATATTTGAATTGCTTTTTTGAAACTTTAGAGTATAATAAAACAACACGGTAAATTTCATTAAAATCGATTTGATAGTTTTCGCAACATAATTTTTTGAAAAAAATTTTTCGAATTTTCAAAATGTTGCACAGCCTTAAATAAATCATCTAGACACTTGAAATTTTGTTCACATAGAAAAGACCGCTCAACCTTTCAATTAGTTTTTGAAAAATTGAAATTGTTTGATTAGGACGGCCATAGTAAATTTTTAAAGTTAACACTCTTTTTTTATTTTTAAACAATTAGATAACATTTATCAATTTGCAATTTAGTTTTTTAAAAAAATTATAGTTCTAAAGTACTATTTTTTCTTAATTTTATCTGTATTTAACAAAAAAAATAATTTCCAAATAAATTTAAAATTATTTAAATAATTGTAATAATTATAACTAAATACATTCATATTCAGAGTGTTGAAATATATACGTAAACAAACATTGCAATAGCATAGGGTAAAATATACAGTATATTTAATGCATAAATAATAAACTTTGTTTATAACAAAATATGTGCAAATTAGACAGTTGGCAACACGATATTCGAATTCTTGGCGCGCGAGACATCGGATTAAAAAAAAGATCGAAATCGATTAGAAGTCGAGATAATGCAATTTTTTCGTACCTTCGCATTTTGAAACTCCGAATTCAGTCTCACCCATTTTTCGTATTTTGAGTCACTTTTCGCGCGTGCGAGCGACAGCTTTTCCGCTGATTTATTTATGTTGCTGATAACTTATAGATATGAAATTTTTTTCCAGCTTAGAACTCGGAAAAAACGAAGCTACTGGATCAAAGATTATTACAGCTAAGTTGTTTATAAATTAACGGTAAATGCCGATAAACTTTGACCGCTTATATCTCGAGAACCAATAAACGAAATTTAACTTTTTTAAAAAAAAAGAAGCGTCTTTCCGAGTACTTTAAAATTATAATTTTTGAAAAAAACTAAATTACAAATTGATAAATGTAATCTAATTGTTTAAAAATAAAAAGAGAGTGTTATGAGAGTGTGTTCAACCGATTTTATTGAAATTTGGTGTGTTATTATACTCTAAAGTTTTTTTTACCAAAATTAGAATGCCTCGGAGCAATTAAAATATTTTTAAAAAATGTTCCAAAAAAACTTGATTATTTTGCCTTTATTTCATCAATGATTGCTATTTTGCAACATCGGTAATAAATTGAAACATTTTTAACTTACAGTATATTGTGCAAAATTCAATTCTAAAACTTTTTTCCTTTTCAGTACTATTCCAAAATGCATTGGTTCCAAGATAAGTAAAAAACTCAGATAAAATAGGTATTTTTTAAATTTTTTAAACATTTCTGCAATTTTGAAATTGTTCCCGACCTCGCCCAGATCTAGGAATCTACACTTTTATTATGTGAGTTATACTGAAGGTATTCCAGCAAAAATTACCTTGCCTCCTCTTACATCCAAGAAGTGGAATATTTCGGCAGATCCGATCTAGTCTACTACGTCCACGTCGTGGTTCACTAAAAGTAATCGATTCACTAGTCATTTACATCTCTACAGGTAACAATTTCCCAGATATTTGAAATTTGCAAAATGAATAAACTTTTTTGATGACGAATTTCGAATACTTATATAAAACGTGGTACTTTTTTGCAAACGTAATGCAGAATCGTATACATAGGTTCTGTGTAGGAAAAATCTAGTAATCAATAATATATTTCCTTCTTCCTGTGATTGATTATGGACATTATTTTCGTAGACTGGCCTATTTTTCGAGATATTTGAAGGCTTCAGGTTAAAAAAATCGGCCTCCATATTACTTTTATTCTCGTTTAGAAGGAAAGAGTGACTCAAAATGTAGTAAAGTCCATCTCATAATCTCTTAATTACCCTAAAATTAGTTGATTAGTTAATAATTACGGTAATTACCTACATTGTGAAGTAATTGCATATCTTGTTCTTCGGATTCAATAAAATATTCCCGACGTTACTTTTCTTTTGACTCCTAAAAACCTTCAACTACATTTCATGAAATATAAATAGATGCACGTAATTTTAGCGCAAGTAAAAAATGTAACATCATAAATTATTTATAACTTTCCTCTTAGAATAATTTAAATTTCACCATTTTATTGTCTGCAATTATCTTTTGCTTTGATGTCACTCTTTGCTTTCTTTTATTACGAATTTACTTTCATTTACGACTTCCTAGAGCGGCCCCTGAAATACGTCCAATAAAGGAATTAAACAAAACAATATTCACGCTGATTATGCTTTATTTGAAATATTTTGTAACTACACAAATGTCAGTTATGGTTTTATAAGTGTTTACCACCTAAATCTACCATCAATACTATTGTCCTTGTTTGGTTCTATTAGCATTAAAACATTAGCAGACCTCTACTGGACACTTTTGAAAAGTGTAAAATATGAAAATGATCCTCTGCAGACCTAAAATACAATGACCATTTTTTATACTTTAATCCAGAATATATACCAGGCATATCCACAAAGTATGAGTACTGAGACTGATGCTTTGTGGTTTTTGTTTTCGACAACGTTGGCTACAGTGCATTCAATGCCAAGGTGTTGGAAGCAAAACAAGCGCTCATTTGTCTGAGTCAGTTGAGAACCGTTGTTGTAGTGGCGTGTTGAAACGAGCCGCTAGGACCGTAATCCTCTTTCTTCTTGCAAAGAGAAAGAAAGATTTGTTTATTGAGATGATGTGAAGAATCGTATTAATGTGTACAAGGAGATTTTTTTGACAAAGCATTGTGGTTGATGGCGATTACATCGAAAAATAGTGTTTGATGTACCTTTCTGAATAGGTATGTAAATTGTTCATAATTATACTGCCGTTTCAAATTAAAATCCTCTTTCCTTGTGGATGTGCCTTGTATTTGTTTAATACTGACACAAAGAAATCGACCAATCATATGTACGTTTGACAATTATTCCGATAATACCGACTATGCTAACAAAAACCGTTCTATCTATCGAGCTTTCCATTGAATTTCTTCACATTAATCTCTTAATTTTAATGATGTTCTGAAAAAGAAGGTACTTACAGCTACTAACGTGGCCAAAGTTAGTGGAGAGAACTTGCCAATCGAGACATACACAGGGCGTTGAATTCGAGACATGGTAAGAATCATCGAACGTTTAAATCTTAAGCTTGAACTAAACCAATCGCATTCATACAAAGACACTCCTGTCTGGGCGCTCTGAAAGCAATGAGTTACATTTTGGTTATCAAAATTAAGTATAAATTTTTTTTATTCCTTCTCTTTATTCGATTTTGTATCCATCAAAGTTGAATCAATTTCAATTAAAACACTAATTAGATATATCTCACTTACAGCAGTGGTTATTTCGTTACCAAAAAAGCATATCACGGACAATTGTACCAGAACGCAAAGGAAATATTCCACTTGCGCAAAAAACTCAGGAGACGTCATAGAAACCTGTAACATAAAAATGTGACACTCAGGAAAAATGTTCGTTAAAATAATATTCTTTCCAAATAACACTCACTGTGGATGCCACGTATAAACATGATGCAAAAATTATCAAAGATGCCAGTGTTTGTGCCAAAGTTACGTACGTAAATACATTCTCTATATCGTCACGAACCCTAAAACACAAGAGAAAAGCAGTCACTGTTATAAAATGTTAAATTTTTATGTAAAGAAATATTCATTAATTTCGGGTAGAGTATGCAACCAATATTACACAACGTATGAATAAACACATCCTCGTATAATCTAAACATATCTTTAGAATATAGGCAAACAATATAAATTTGAATGTTTTATAATTATTCACTTTGATAAGAAAAAACGAAAGATTAGGGAAATGTCATAAAATATCTTACATGACGCAGCCAACTATACACTGAAGGTGAAATGAGTGTGGAGTGGGTATCCACCTAGCAAACTTAAAAGCAAGACGGGATCGATAATACATGCATAATAAATTATTCTTTCTTTACACTTTACAAGGAATTATTAGCTATGCAAATATAACATTGTTATTTTCTGCAACATGAGTTATTCAAACAAAGAAAATGTTATTGAAAACATTTATTGAAAAATACTTCGCTGTACTCACTGCAGGAGTATGTTTAAGTGTTTGGTGCAATGGGTCAGTTCATCGTAAAGAGTCTTCTCCAATGTGGGATTGCTTTCATCAACAAAAATCTTGTAGTTCTCTGGAAGGTCCAGTCTCTTCTCGCACCTTTCTCTTATAGTTCGAAAAGCACACTGGACTATCTCCAATTGAGTTTTCAGACAATTCATCAATGTTACGAAAAAACCATCATGGGCTAAAATGGTTGACATTAAAATGAACTAATGTTAACATCACTAGAATCATTATACTTGACACAATTATAACGAAATTATTTTACTACTTAATTCGACAATGTTGTCAATGTTTGCAAAGTGTTTTGTATCAAATTGAACTAAATAAAGGAAATTTGGTACAAATTGCTGTCAGAAGCTGGACCTTGAGGATTATTAATTTAAGAAGACAGTGAGTACCAGATCTAAAGTAGCAGAAATGGAACAGTCCATGAAACAGCTTATGGAAACGATGACGGCAATGAAGGATGGTATGAAAGCAACAAAGGCTGCATTAAGATCTGATATGAAAACAGGCAGGATGTACTGGATGTACTAAGGTCTGATAAGGGGAATATTAAAAACAAAATAAAAAATAACATGAAGAAATATTTAGGAGCGGTACTTTGAGTCTCGGTTAAGGCTTGCTTAACTAATCAGGCGATTAGACTGTTATACTTTATAATTAGTTGGAAAGGACATGTGATTCGATCAAATTGGGCAGAAATATCAAATCATCAACGTTAAAGGATTTCTGGGTCATACGGATTCACTCATCTTAGAAAATGAGTTACTGAAGAGGAAATGTCCAGATGACAATGAGGTACGAAAGCAGGTGGTACTTCCGAGGAATGGAGTCAAGGAAGTGCTGAGAGAAGTCCATGATGAAGTAGGTGGAGGAGACATATGACTAGTATGGATAAAGAGGGTGGCACACCCTACATCCACAATTTGACTTTATGGTGGAGAGTCCTTGGAGAATTACCTGCGGATAGTCGTCAATGAACACCAAACCGACTGAGACCGATATGTGCCTCTTTTTCTATTGGCATATCGATCAGCAGTCCATAAGACTACCGCCGTAAGAACATCAGCCAGTATAGTCTTCGATAGAGACTTGGAGCTACGCTTTGACATTGCTTTTAACCACCCAGAACATTGAGCTGGCACACTGAAAGACTACCCGTTGGAGTTAACCAAAAGAATCAATGCCATCCATTACAAAGTCCGACAGAAAATGAAGTTTCAAAGCAATCGGTTGAAAACACGGTGCTATTTCAGAGACGACACTAGTAAGAAAGATAGGAAAATCTTTAAAGTTCCAGAATCACTGGGAAGGTCTATAACGGTGATCAAGATGATCAACGACGTGGTCTGAAGAATCCAGAGAAGGTCCAGAGGGAAAATGAAGGTAATTGAATCTTTTGGTCCAATACCGAGCAACCAATCGAAAAGAACTCTGATTGCTGATCGGGACGATCGTCCGGGAGGGGGGGGGGGACTTGTTATATTTTGTTATTGTGAAACGTCAAAATTTGTAACTGTTGTGTATTAAATTGTACATATTATCTTTTCTGTATTCTAAGACAATACCAAAAAACGTTATTTTCTGGTATACCTACTTACTTCCAATTATCCAAGCAAACACGTCGAGACTGACGTTCATGAAAGTAAAAGCAACATGGCATTGGAATTTTGTCACTGCGTTAAAAGGAATATAGAAATAGTAAGGTAAAAAGTCATAGCAGGTTAAGTTTCCCGGCAAATGGTCATCTTTGACCACTTCGTTGAGAGTAATTGTAGATGAAATTTGAGCGGACATACCAACGAAGTTGTACAAGATGAAAACCTGAAACACAAAAAACAGATAGGAATAATAAACAAATAAAACAAAACTAGATTTGAGATCCAGCAGAACCATTTTGTAATGAAAATCAAACGTTTTATATCGAAATTGATGCAATCAATGAGCTGAAAAATTATTTGCAGAAGAAAATATTAAAATTCATATGACAAAATTTAAAAACACTGCGACAGCGTCCATAGAAAGAAATGATAATGAGACTATTTGAAACTTCAAAAACGTTATACCATAGTGTTAATAAGTTAGGAAATAAAGCAACGACAGATCTCTTAAAGACTTGCTATGGTGCAATAAAAAAATTTAATTGAAAAATGGGAAATGTGTAGCTCATTCTCAACTCCGTATTCGATTCTTGCGACGGATAAGGAGTATAAAGAATGCAGTTCTATGGGTTTTAAAAAGTTTCAAAAATTGTTAAACATAGAAACAAGAAATTAATTCATAAACGCTATTTAATATTTATTATTTTATGTGCCACAAAAAATATGACTGAACTTTGGAATCGCCCCTTAGTAGTTACTCTATTTCTATTCTCATATTATATATTTTTTAAAGCTGTTGCGGCAAAAATATTTTTCTTTATTATTACAAAATATAAAATCCAACATACCATTACTGACACGAACGAAGTGAGCCTTTTCGCTTTCGACAACATCAAGCCAGGCTGAAAGGTGCCTTGTGGTTCATAGACATAGTCCTTATCCTGCAACATATCCATGATCTTCTGTAAGCTCTTACGACGGAACACCAGGATGTAAAACTTCAGGATACCCACCACGTGGGTGAACAACATTCCAAACTGCCGTACAAACTTGTTAAGATCTTTGACGGTTTCACTGACAATGATTATTTCACAAATAAAGAAAAAGATAGACACTGAGTAAGCAAGAGTAATGTACAAGTAGAACAGGACTCTTAATATCAAGTGAATTTCCTTTCCAGGGAGCCAGAATCCTGTCACCCTCTGCAGGATTTTATTGACGTAGAAGAAGTCCTTTGGGTAATTCATCCCAGACATTTTCAACGTGCTAGTTCCCTTTTTAAAATGTCTTGCTGTTATAAAGGTTTGTAAACTTGAAGGTCAGTTTTAATTATACCTTAACCTCACATTGTAGACCAATCTGCAAAAGTTTTGTTCCGTTTTGTATTAAATATTTTAACACTAGACATATGTCACACTATAATTATTATGTACTGGCTCATAAGTCATTAATGTGGTCATACGTGTTCCGTCTTGGTTTATTCTGAATGTTTTTTATGTTTGTAATAGCGTATTTATGTCAGAAATAGTTTTTAATTAGCCTTTTTTCTCATACATGCATTTTAATTAATATACACAGGATGTAACAGTGGTATTCTGGCAAACTGATTCTTCCAATCAAAATGAATATCAAAATTTAGGAAGGAAAGATTTAGAAAAAAAACTCTTTTTTTATTTGCTGAAAATTTTGTTGTTACATCCTGTATATCATATGGGGTGACTCAGGTTTTTGTGATAGGGCAGTCGAAAGAAGACGTGATTCCAGTGAGAAAAGTTCATATATGTATATAGGAATATAGGCCCTTCAGCATCGTGTTACAAATTAATCAAAATTATTTTGTATTCCTTTTCTTTGTAACTTAACAATTGGTACCAAAGAAAAGTGTAGTGTTCTACTTTCGCAGATGTAGTACCAATCTAAAGCTTCAAAAAGTCATAGAAGAGACTTCCAATATTCATCTCCCAAATTAATGTTTTATATGTATCATTCTCCTATTTTCAGATTTTTCCAACGATTCCAAACAAAACGGTTCACTAATACTTAGATCAACCTTTACTTACTTATTAGTTAGGTTTCAAGTTACAAATAAATAAAAATAAAGTGGAATCCAATATATTTCTTTATCCACACACATATGAACCGTCTAAAGTGATACTTTATCCACTAGTGGAATAAAGTAAATTTATTTCACTAGTGGAATAATGAAAATATAATAAACCTATAATAAATCAAATTTAATTTATTTACTTATTAACATTAACATTTATATTTATAGTAATAGACAATTCGTTTTTAGTTTTATCACATTTAATTTCCTTTCCATTAATAACAACCCTTGTAGCATTGTTGCCATCATTTTCGGAACCCATAACATCTGTCGAGGATTTTGAAGAATTTGCACAAGTTACGGATGTTTCTTCTTGTAAGGAGCAGCTATATTTTCCTTGGATTTTCCTTGCAATATCAAGTTTGTTAGATATAGACTCTTCAACATAGCTTTCTGCTACAGAGGAGCTCTTCCATCCACCATGCCGTTTGATGGTTGTAAAATCAGCACCTTGATTGGCCAATAAACGTGTTGAAGTGCGCCTCATACAATGGTCAGTATATGCTTCTGGATTTGCGATATTCAGGATTGAAGCAACTATTGAAGGTACCTTCGCCAATGTGTTGATTCCAACAGGCTGGGAAGCACATTTTGATTTATGTATCTGTCTTGTGTTGGGCGAATTGGTCGCAGAAAAATATATTTTCTGCATATCCTTCTTCTATAATTGTAAATTTTCTTGAAATGCCCGTATTAGTGTCAGATATTGAAACAAGTAGGTAACTGCCAACGTCACTAATTTTCAAGTATGTCAATTCACAGCATCGACAGGCACCAGAAACCCCCATTATTAGTGCAACCTAAAATAATTCAAAGTTCACTATATACCTAACAACATGTAAAAGGTAAAGAGATATTACCTCAATCATTAAATATTTTTTGTCGGAAGCCCCAGTAAAAAATTCTGCAATATGTGCTCTTTCCAATACGGCAGCTTCTTTTGCTTTGTATCTTCTCGATTCACTCTTCAAATAAGCAGTAAGCTTGTTATATTTTTCAATATCTATATTTTTGTAGACCTTTATAGTAACCTTCAACATCGAATACTTCGACCACATAGATGAAATTGCATATTTTTTCTTCAAATTTAAAAAATACGATATCATGACTTCTTCATTTATTGTCATTATTCTCCGTTTTTCCCCCCCCATTCGTTAAATTCGGCGAACACTTTTTCGAAATGTTCGCTGGATTTCGCTGGCAATAAATGGAAAATTGCTTCTTGAGCTTATTCAAAAACAGCCACAGGGACACAATTACTTGTATTTTTACCAAATTAAGATAGAACCGTTTATTAAATAAATTGATAATAAACAACGTACAATAGCAACCAGTAGGTATAACAAAACTTACCACGTTTCATAAGTACGAAATATCAAGTCGTGCGATTATTTTTTATTAAATTCCAATAATTCTGACTCCACAAATATGATTGTGATGTGATTATAGATAAAACGCTGTATTGCATTCGTGTTTTAATTGCCTTTTATCCACTTAACTACGTTCTTGCGTCTAAACATTCTTGCGTGGATAAAATGCTACTTAAAACATTTATACAATAAATAACTATTCTATTATTATCGAGATACAAAAAAAATTATTAATAACTGTTATGTAACACCCTGTATCGCAAAAACAACAGTCCGCGATGCATGTTCATATTATTTTTTTTTACAAAAATGTGTACTTCATATTTGAGATATACTCTATTAAGAATTTAATTTTTTTGAGATACCTACTGAATATAATCTTACCTCTTACCTCAATACAATTAAAATACAACCGCTGTTCAAATACCGTTAATTTTTTCTTTCAGATTTTGACACTTTGATATCCCTATGTTCTCTGAAAAATTTGATAAAATATTGTCGACAAATAGAATTCAGTATATTATTTCTTCTGTCGCTTGTACCTTTTCGTTGTATACTAACATCAACTGTATTTATGACGAGGACAAATTTGCCGCTATGTTTAACTCAAATAAAAATCCATTCTTCGCGTTTGAAAGTAACGAACGTATACAGAACTTCATATACCTACCCACTAAATTATTCAGACCGCCTATATTCTTTTTAGAAATAAAAATGATATATGATGAATTTATATGACTTGGAATTAAGTCTATTATTTTATTTAGGTGCTTTGTGTTTGTATGTATCAAGATATAGTATTTTTAAGATCCTGTCAAACTATGCTGTTGTAGTTGTTAGTAGGTATACAGGGTGGTCACTTTTAAGATGTTTACCATTAGTATCTCCTGAACTAGAAGATTGACAGGATTGGTTAAATTACAAGAAAGTAGCATATTTTCATGCTATTTCGGATTATGAAAAGAAATTGCACCGTTCCTGAAATAAGCTGAAGAAACTGAAAACTTGACTTTTCTTATTTCTTACATTTCTTATTTATTATTAAAAATAGAGTAATGAATATAAATCGGTTTGTATACCTACATAAAATGATATAGTCTATCGATCTGGTAAAGTAAAACATATTTCAGGCCTCCTAGATCTTATGTTTTCAGAACAAACTTTTGATTTTTTTATGGGCGCCATATTGAATTTTTGCGCCATTAGATAAAGCATTAAATTTTGAGTTCCACGATGTATAATACCTTGCTGAAGGGATTTTATTAAGGGACAAAAAACGTCAATTTTATGATTTATTTAATTCGATCGTAGTAGCCATGAAAAATCAAACGATGGTTAAGAAAGCATAAGGATCTAGGAAGCTTGTAACAGATATAGCATATCGCCTTATTGCTCATATCGATTTTCATTACTCTACTTTCAATAATAAAAAAAATATGGAAGAAATAAGAAAAGCCAGGTTTTTTAGTTTTTTCAGTTTATTTCAGGAACGGTGCAACTTACCTCCAACTTCTTTTCATAATCCGAAATGATATGAAAATGTGCAACTTTCTTGTAATTTAACCAACCGTGCAAATCTTGTGCTTCAGGAAATACACCTTAAAAGTGACCACCCTGTGTGTAATTTTTACATAGGCACCTGTTGACGACAAAAGTAGGAATTTGAAGTAAAAAGCAATGATATCTGATCCTGTCATAACGTGTAACGTCAGGAGATCTTTTTAAATATTTTTCCCCAAATGTCTTGATTAACAACAGAGTGTTGAATTGAATGTTAAATTGAATTTAACAAAAACATAATTATCATTTTTTAAATATATATACCTGTTTTTTGACGTTGATCGATAGAATTTGGTCTAGTGATTTATCTTTGATCTCTGAAGTCTGTGACGTAGAAACTTTCCAAAAAATTAATAACTATTTTGAGAATAATTCGTTTTACAAATAATATGGAAGATATATTTTTCCTTTGAAATACAATTGTGATTGTGTAACTGAATTTGCAATACAGTACGTTAATGATGAAAGGAACAAATTCGTTTAAAATTCAGGTAGGTAATTATTTTGTGGAAAAACGCTTGAACACGTCTTTAAGGAAAACCGCTGATTTTAGAGATATGGTATGTTATACAAAAAATGTTCAGAATTTACCGTACAATTCAAATATGGCATAATATACAGGGTGTTCCACTAAAAAAAATCAACGATGACCGCATATATTCTTCTTGAGACACCCTGTATACAATTTTCTTATGTAAAAAAATCTTGCATACAAAATTCAGTAGAATCACCAATAATTAAAGTTACTTCAAATGTATTAAAAGGTACATATTAGTATTTTTCTGAAATTTCTCAAAAACGTGAATACCCTGTATATCGAAAACTAAGCCATGGGTAGGGGACACCGGGGCTTGTTGTCGCAGGGGTAAATTATCGCAATTACTACAATTCCGAAGTTCGAAAACATTGGCCTATAAATCTTTATCACAACTTAATTACAGATCCCTTCTTTATCTTCCCTGAGTTTGAACTCAAACCGCTAAGATGGCAGCACCGTAGGGTACGATATAAGAACTAGTGCGCACGTCGTAAATTTTCGTGTTAAGAATAATTTAAGTGTTATACCCCTTATTGAACGTTAAGGTAAGCAAATTTTATATATAATTTTAACTTAGGATGTAGCAGAGCAGTTAAGCGTAGAGATTCACCAATTTCTATTAGAAAAGTCATAGACAAATATGATCTCCATGTCAAAGCTCTAGAGAGATTTTGTAAAAAAGTTACCGATGCAGAACTTATGGCTGGTTGTTCTTAAATTAAATTAGGGTACAAAAAACCAAGAATGGTGTTTGATCAAGATGAAGAAAATCGTCTAGAGTTGTAGAGGAGCACCTTAAGAAAGCATCCAAAATTTATTTTGGCCTTACCCCGAAAGAAGTTAGGCATCTAGCATATGACTATGCAAAAGCTTTGTCGAAATCAGTCCTAGATTCGTGGTATGAAAATTCAATAGCCGGACCAGATTGGTTTTCAAGCTTCCTGAAAAGGCATCAATAGTTATCTATCCGAACACCTCAAGCCACCTAAAGTTTTTCTTGATGAGGAAAACCACTCACTAAAGAGCAAAATCATTGTTAAGCAAAAAAGGTAAAGTTAGGGAAGAAGTAACCTCCTCTAACGAAGAGGAAGAAGAAGAAACGATTTGCCTCGTTTGCCATGGTCGTTACAGTTTGTCCACAATAGATTGGTTGGAATGCACGAAATGTAAATTGTTGGCCCATAAAAGTTGCACAGGTGGCAATCCCTATTACGTATGTCTACACTGCGATTCCGATGATGACTTGTAACCTTGCATTTTGTATATACAGGGTAGCCCATCGAAAACGTACCGCAAGGCATTACAGGGTAGTAATGTACTTTTCGGCAAAATCCAAAATCAGGTAAAGTTTGCTTCTGAGGGGGACAACTTTTGGCGCAAAAAGCATAGCAAAATCTTCAACCCCCTAAGTGGGGGTGCCATCCCCCAAATTTTTTTAAATGGGAATGGGG